AGAGAGAGTGGGGGGGGGGAGAGAGACATTGATGTGAGAGAGACACATCAATTGGTTGCCTCCGCCACATGCCAGACCAGGCAGGAATTGAGGCTGGAACTGAGGTACCTGCCCTTGGATGGAATTGAACCCGGGACCCTTCAGTACTTGGGCTGATGCTCTAACCACTTAGAAAACTGGCTAGGGCCAGAAAAAGAGTATTTCAAATTCATCACCAATGACACTCTATAATAAAAACCAAGCCTTCAATCATTCTTTCATTATAGTCAATGGGATCTTCTAAGAAAATTGTTTCTATGTTTCACCGACTCACCTCTTTGATCATTTGAAGAAGCTCTGCCTTTGTGGCTGCACTGGGAGGGATGCACTTGTGGCCACACAACTTTAAGGCATTCATAAGCAGTTCTGCTGTGTCTAGTTCTTCCTGAGTCAATTCATCTTGGTGATTATGTATCAGCTCTGACAAATACAAAACTAACTTGGCTCCATGCTTTAAAACAAAGTAAGAAATTTTTTTTCAGTCATAAAGAATTTTTATTTCTTACCTTTAAATTATTTAACAGTATTTAAATTAAATTATATTGCTAGATTTATTTGCTTAGCTCTGGTTTGAAAAAATAAGCTAAAAAAAGACATCTTGAGGACAACTGAAAAAATGTGATTCTGTATTGGATATATGATGACACTGGGGAGTCTGCTAATTTTGTTAAGCATAATGTTGTTATGGTTATATAAGAAAAAGGTCTTGAAAAATGTCATGATTTCTATGATCTGCTTTAAAATGTTTCAGAAAAAGAAAAAATGAAGCCAATATGATAAAAATGTTAACAACTGTTAAATCTATGTGATGGTTATAAGGTACTCGTTATATTGTATTTTTCTTAGTAGGTTTGAAAATTTTCATTGTAAAAGGTAAAAAAAAAAAGAGTAAAAAGGAGGGAGGCGGGGCAGGAGGCAGGCAGGGAGGGAGGCAGGGAGGAAAGAAGGGAGGCAGGGAGGGAGGAAGGGCAGCAGGGAGGGAGAGAAGGAGGGAGGCAGGGAAGCAGGGAGGGAGGGGGGAAAAGAAGGAAAAGAAACGCCAGCAAGCAGGCTTTGGAGGAAAGGGCTCTGGAGAGGATTAGCTGCAGAAATGCAGGAAATAAGCTCGGGATAAGGAAAATCATTCCTAGTTCTCCTCAGAGCAAAACTTAACCAGAAGAGGAACTTCCCTTTAAACCTTGAGATGAGGGAGTTTTGCTTATGCATTCTTTCTCCTCCAACTTCTGCTAGGTAGATGTTGGTGAAAACTCTAGAACAAAAAGCTATCCCTGGATGAGCTTATAAGCATTCACTACTCCCCAGGAGAACTCGAAAACCAGTGAGACCTCCGCAGTTAATGTCCAAGAAGGGTTGGTTTGGGTCAATCTTTTATGAACAGACCCTATAACTAAAATTAGGGTGTTGCTACTTAAGGCAATGACAATTGTCCTTCACAGCGTGAACCTACACCAAGCTTTGATTCATGATTTTTTAGGTGGTCCTTCCATACTCTAGAAGTTACACCTGATCGTGATGTGTACACTATGTATTATTTAGACATTAATTATGCCAACAAGTTAAACATGAGCAATTTTACTTTTTAAGAATTTGCATTAATACAAATATCACTGCATTTGGCTTTATGGCTTTTTTCTTTAAATATATCTTTATTGATTTCAGAGAGAGGAAAGGAGAGGGACAGAGAGAGAAACATCAATGATGAGAGAGTCATTGATCAGCTGCCTCCTGCATGTCCCCGACTGGGGATCGAGCCCGCAACCCGGGCATGTGCCCTGACTGGGAATTGAACCCTGATCGCCTGGATCCTAGGTTGACACTCAACCACTGAGCCATGCCCGACTGCACTGGTTTTATGACATTTTAAACTGTGAAGAGTATTAAATGTCAACAAATGGACTTGGCAACTATTACATTTTGGGTGATATTTACATTAACATGCTGAATCACATCATGTCATTTCCTAGAAGCATAAGATGAACATATGCATGGTGGAAACAGCAAAGCTCGTTTTGATGCACGCAACATTTTAAATGAGTCGCGAGACAGCTGCTACCAGACCGAGAGAGGAAACAGAGCAGATGCTCTGCAAGTAAAAGGCTTGAAGAGTTGGAAAATACAGAGAAATGGCAAATGACTGGAATATTTTCACATATGTGTCTTAAAGGCAAGGTTCTTATTACAACTCTAAAAATATTTCTGTTTAGTATTCAATGACATTCTAAAATCATCTTAAAAAACTATCAGAAATGTTTTTATTCACTCTGAACATCCACATAACAGATGATTTGCTTAGATACTAAAGTTGTTTCTAACAACTCATTTTAACATTCTCAGAACCATCGTTTAATGACTGTAGTTCCTGGGACTCAAAAAGCTGTAATTGGGGATCAAGGCAAAAAAAAAGTCTGGCCTAGCTGGGTGTGGCTCAGTGGCTGAGCATTGACCTTGGACCCAGGAGATCGTGGATTCCGGGGCAGGGCACATGCCTGAGTTGGGGGCTCAATCCCAGTCGAGGGTGTGCAGGAGGTAGCCGATCAATGATGACTCTCCCTCTCCCCTTCTCTGAAATCAAAAAAGATTTTTTTTTTAAAAAGGCTTGTTTTCAGCTCTCAAAAGACTAATTTAAGGAACTGAATGTATTAAACACAAATCCTAAGAAAATATTAAAATGCTAAGATGTGTAAAAATACAGTTTTCCATTAAGGTTTCTAAGAAGAAAGAGTTCTGAGTGGGCTAGAGAAAGGGAGGGAGGTTTTAAAGGTGGTACAGTGAGCTGGGAACGTGGATGAATGGATGGAAGGGCAGGTGGACAGACACAGGAGGGGAGGAAAGGTGGTTCAGGCTGTGAGGACAGGAGTAAAGCAGCCTGTTGGCAGGAACACACAGGCTGTGAAGAGGGTACAGCACAGAGGCAACACTGTTGGAAAGAGGCGGGGCTGCATACTGGAGTTAACCAGACTCAAGCTGCCGAAGAAGAGACCTGGGGCTTTAAAATCAGGCCAATTACAGATGGATTTGGCTTCAGGCGACAGTAATAGGTACGAGAGGATCTCTGTACACTGCTGTGGAAGGAGCTCTAGGATGGCGTGTCACCTGAAGGAAGGAAGTGCAGAAGAGTGTGTAGAATTAGTTATCTTTCTTTCTGTTGAAAAGTGGGGGCAATAATACGTGTGTGTGTGTGTGTGTGTGTGTGTGTGTGTAGATGTGCTTACATGTTCAAAAGAAGTAAAACCCAAATAAAGATCGTTACCTGTGGGAAAGGGGAAGAATGAGGGAAGGGTCCAGAGAGACAACCAATGGCGCTCAGAATGTACTATTTTCACAATTTTGATTTTGAATCCCCGTAGACATTTTACATAATTAAACATGAAATTAAATAAAGAAAACCCAATGGAATCGCTAAAACAGAAAACAAATAGAAAAAAAATCCCCTAACTAGTGAGTTGAAGTTGGTGGCATAACCAAGCAGAGGAAATTATTTTAGATGCTTTTACAAATGCAGTGTATTCATGGTATATCCACAGTGTTATTCGAATAACAAAAATAACTGCCAGAAACCTCCAACTGCATTCAGGGGCCTGTCTCCAGTGACGAGGCTGGTCATCTTACTCAGAAAATGTTCCAAACAGATACAGAAAAAGGAAGCAGAGTAGTATGCTAATGTCATCAGGAATCAAGATGATCAACCTTAATAAAAAGAAATTCAAATATACAACCCAAGAAAAAGTGAAGTATCAGTATGAATTTATTTGTTTTCCTAAAAAGATAAATATTTCCCAGCTTCTCCCACTAAAAAGGCTGAGAAGAAAGAATAACCTAATAGAAATGAATGTACCTAGTCCCTGGATTTATGGCCTCTAAGTACTATTATCCCATGTGAGCTATTCAGTATAGATGTTTCATCAATAATATAATGCTCCAAACACTTCTTAACAAAAATACTTTAAGACTTAGTAACAAGCTATGAAAGATCTTTTAAGAACTATACACAGGCCTTAGCTTAGGCACTGGAAAAGAATGGGAAATAAACACGTGAAACTGAGACTGGTGTAGAGCATCTGAAGAAAGACCTCAGGTAACATTTGGTAAGAAAACTATATTTATACTATTTGGCATAAAAATAAAGTTTAATTTCAGTTCTTGTTTTGTACAATTTGATGTTTCACTGATAGTTTTTACATATGAAATACTGAGATTCTTACTTGCAAGTATGGACTAAGACAGTCTCGTAGTATTTCCTGATGATTTGGTTCATGAACTATTTCAAAAATTTGCTTTCTCTCTTGTGAAGGGTGGGCTGGTGACAAGATATGCGTAAGCAGTCTCCCCAACTGCATTCGGAAGGTTTCCTTACAAGACCATACAATCTTCATCCACTGCTGCTTGGAACCACTGGTTTTATTTGAACCCTTAAACCAAAACAGAAATGAATTAGGATCAGACTTTTTAAGTAATAATATACTAACCTCAACAAAGATGATCATGGAACATGATCTATTCTAGATTTTTAAAGATAGTCTAAATTAGAAGGACATATATATCCACATAAATGGTGTTTAAATGTGCATTGATGGGTGAACAGATAAACAAAGTATGATCTATACATAGAATGGGATGTTACTTAGACTTTAGAAGAAATGAAGTACTGATAATGCTTCAACATGGATGAACTAGAAAACATTATGCAGAGTGAAATGAGCCAAACACAAAAGGACTAATATTGCATGAAATACTGAATTATAATAACTTACATGAAGTATCTAGAAAGTCAAATTCATAGACACAGAAAGCAGAATAGTGGTTATAGAGGTTGGCAGAGAGGGTAATGGGAGTTAGTGTTTAATCAGCACAGAGGTGCAGTCTGGGAAGATGAAAGGTTCTGGAGATGGTGGTGGTGATGGTCACACAACAATATGAATGTACTTAACACCACTGAATTGCACCCTTAAAAATTATTAAAATGGTAAATTTTATGTTACATATATTTTACTACAATTAAAAAAAGGAGAGATGGATGAAGAAGCTAAAGTCATAAACCACTTAAAAAGCTATAAAAACCATCAAAGAACCATGGTAGATAAGGCCACACTGATTTTGCAATACAAAAGAGAAAGGATTCATAATAAAGACTTGAATTAGTACTAAAATATTGAGTATAATAGTCAAAAGTAAGACCTGCATATAAATTGACCACCTGTATTCCCTAACAAATAACCGAAGAAACCCTTCCAAATGCGGGCCCACTGAGGCTAGCCCAATCCTGATCAGATCTGTATCTGGTCTAAAACTGAAATCAGTACATTTCAGAGTTAACTCTGAGGTTTGGAAATTGCTCTCCAATCACTCCTGGTCCTGAGGGCCCTGTGTGAACCGAATGACTCAGTTCTAAGTGGAACCTCAGACACCAAATCCGCTTTAGATTTAGAGACAGGCAGAGTCGTGACTTCAGAGTTCTGCTGGAATTAGAATGGCCTTTGGTATCTATGGAGTGCACTGACCCATTGGTCCCTGTGGTCAACTGTAAGTGACTCACAGAAACCCAAGTGAGTCAATGATAAATGAAGCCTGACACTTGCCTGTATTCTCTATATAATCTTGAAGGAGTTGAGTATATTTAAGCCAAGATCCAAACTTTACAATAAATCATAATAATCATTCAAGAGTAAGTAGGTACAAAAAGTACTTTAAAAACCAGTTATTAATTTAAACTCTCATAGAACTTGGTAAAGCCGGATTCTTTCCAATGCTGCTCTTAGTAAATTACAATATTAGAAAATGCCTTTTGGGGCCCAGATTTAAAACTGTGCATGAATGAAGTGAGTCCTTTTGCAACAGGTGACTTAGCAAATAATTATTCCATTATTAAAAATTCAAGTTGTCTTAGTTTTAGAAAACTCTGTGAAAGAGTAGAAATATGATTTTGAAAACATAAAATACAAACATAAAACCTCTACTCCTATTTAGTTCTTCTTTCTCAAGATTGCTTCAGCTATTCAGGGTCTTTTTTGGTTCCATATAAATTTTTGGAATATTTTTTCTAGATCTGTGCAATATGCCAATGGTATTTAATAGGAATTGTGTTGAATCTATAGATTGCTTTGGGTAGTATGGACATTTTAATGATGCTAATTCTTCCAATCCATGAACATGGTATATGCTTCCATTTGTTTGTATCTTCCTCTATTTCTTTCTTCAATGTCCTACAGTTTTCCAAGTACAGGTCTCTTATCTCCTTGGTTAAGTTTATTCCTAGGTAACTTACTTTTATTTGTTGCAAATGTAAATGGGACTGCTATCTTAGTTTCTCTTTCTGATAGTTCATTATTGATGTATTAAAATGCCACCAATTGCTTGGCCGGGCATGACTCAGTGGTTGAGCATCGACCTAGGATCCAGGAGATCAAGGTTCGAATCTCCGTCAGGGCACATACCTGGGTTGCGGGCTCGATCCCCAGTCAGGGGCATGCAGGAGGCAACCAATCAATGACGATTCTCTCATCATTGATGTTTCTATGTCTCTCTCCCTTCCTCTCTGAAATCAATAAAGATACATATATTTTTTTAAAATGCCACCAATTTCCGAATATTAATTTTGTATCCTGCTACTTTGCCAAATTCCTTTATTAGATCTAGTAGTTTTTTGGTGGAGTTATTAGCGTTTTCTAGGTACAATCATGCCATCTATGAATAATGACAGTTAAAGTTGGAGGTATCACCATACCTGATATCAAACTATACCATAAGGCCATAGTAATCAAAACAGCCTAGTACTGGCATAAACCAGAGATATAGATCAATGGAACAGAACAGAGAACCCAGAACTCAACCCACGTCTTTATGGCTAATTGATATTTGACAGAGGTGGCAAGAGCATACAACGGAATAAGACAGTTTCTTTTGTCTTATTCCATTTCTCTGGTGCTGAGAAAACTGGATAGATACACTCAAAAAAATGAAACTAGACCATCACCTTACACTATACACAAGAATAAACTCAAAATGGATAAAAGACTTAAATGTAAGTAGAGAAACCATAAAAGTCCTAGAAGAAAACACAGGCAGCAAAATCTCAGACATCTCTTGGAGCAATATGTTTTCTGATACATCTTCTAGGGCAAGGAAAACAAAGGAGAAAATAAACAAATGAGACTATATCAAAATAAAAAGCTTCTGCACAGCAAAAGAAATAATCAGCAATATGAAAAGGGGACCCACTATATGGGAGAACATATTTGCCAATGATACATCTGATAAGGGGTTAATTTCCAAAATATATAAAGAACTCATACAACTCAACAAAAGGAAAACAAACAATTCAATTAAAAAATGGGCAAAGGACCTGAATAGACACTTCTCCAAAGAGGACATACAGATGGCCAAGAGACATGAAAAAATACTCAATGTCACTAATCATCAGAGAGAGGCAAATTAAAACCACAGTAAGATATCACCTCACACCTGCCAGAATGGCTGCCATCAATAAATCAAGAAACAATGAGTGCTAGAGAGCATGTGGAGAAAAGGGAACCCTAGTGCACTGTTGGTGGGGATGCAGACTGGAGCAGCCACTGTGGAAAACAGTATGAAGCTTCCTCAAAAAATTAAAAATGGAACTGCCATTTGACCCAGTGATCCCACTTCTGGGAACATATCTTAAGAATTCGGAAACACCAATCAGAAAGAATATATGCACCCCTATGTTTTGAAGCATTATTTACAATACCTAAGATGTGGAAACAGCCCAAGTGCCCAACAGTAGATAAGTGGATAAAAAAACTGTGGGACATTTACACCGTGGAATTCTATTCAGCTATAAAGAAGAAGGATCTCATATTCTTTGCAACAGCATTGAGGGACCTGGAGATTATTATGATAAGTGAAATAGGCCTGTCAGAGAAAGACAAATACAGCATGATCTCACTTATTGTGGAATCTAATGAACAAAATAAACTGAGGAACCAAACAGAACCAGAGGCATGGATACATGGAACAGACTGACAGCTATCAGAGGGGAGGGAGGGGAGTGGGGACTGGATGAAAGAAGGTGAAGAGATTAGCCAAAGAACATATATGCATAACCCATAGACAAAGACAACTGTGAGGTGATGGCTGGAGGGAAGGGTGAGTGGGGGCTGGGTGGAGGTCGGCAAAGGAGGGGAAATGGGAACACTTGTAATGTCAACAATAAAAATAAAGTAAAAAAACAACAACCCTCTACTCCTCTTGGGTGAATGAATATTCCCCATTTAATTAATTTACTTACAATAGATACTTTGAATGCTTCTACCAGGTATGTGAATATTTCTTTCTGAAGTGGATTGAAAACGGGAATCTGTTCATGATGAATATTTTCTTCAGAAATTTCAGCCTGGGAAACTGAGGTCTTGCTTTGAGTGGCATTTTCTGGAGTTCTTAAAATGTCAACAATGTCTCGATTAAACTCTGAATTTAAAAAAGAGTAAAAAATTAGTGAAATCACTGATACCTACCCATTAAAAGTGTAATGATGCTGGTAAAAACTGTCCATGTAATTACTGATTCAGTGGTCACAGCATGAATGTGTAGATGTATCAACTGTAGAATATACTAGAGAAAGTGATCTCACTCAAAACAATGTAGAAATTTAAACATATATAAGCTATGAATTCTAAATAAAAGATTTATTTCACTAATGGAAATGAATTCAGCTACAGAATTATCAAAGCCATGAAGTTCTTGTACAAATCAAACATAGAGACCATGCGATGTTCACATCAGATGGGCGTGCAGAGCTGCTTCTCTCATGTGCTGTGTCATTCAAGGTTGTACATGGGATAAAAATGGTTCAATTCCAGCCCAGCCAGTGTGGCTCAGAGGTTGAGCATCAACCTAAGATCCAGGAGATCGAGGTTTGATTCCTGGTCAAGGCACATGCTGGGTTGTGGGCTTGGTCCCCAGTAGAAGGCATGCAGGAGGCAGCTAATCAATGACTCTTCATTGATGTTTTTATCTCTCTTTCCTTTTCCCTTCCTCTCTCTGAAATTAATAAAGATTTTTGTTTTTTAAGAAAAAGGTCCGATTCCAGAGTTTAGCCTGAGGGACAGCTGTCTCAAATATAAATTAGAGAAGTTTTTTTAAAAAAATCTTGGGATGTATTGTTGATTTTAGTGATTAACAATTACTGTTTTTTCCTGCTGCCTTCTTGGGGTTATTTGAACATTTTTTAGAATCCCATTTTTACTTATTTATAGTGCTTTTGGGTGCACTTCTTTTCATAGCTGTTTAGTGGTTGCTCTAAATATATTTTATATATAAATAAAGAAATTAGCCACTATAGAAATGAAAACTGAAACCATAATGCAATATCGCTATACATATCAGAATGGCTAAAATTAAAAAGTGACAATTCCAAATACTTGTAAAGATGTGGGGAAAAAAAACACTCATACATTGCTGGTAGAAACAGAAAATTATACAGTCACTCTGGAAAAGTGTGGCAGTCTCCTAACAAGAAGAAAACACACACTATCATGTAACCCAACAATTGCACTCCTGGGCATTTATCCCAGGAAAATGAAGACTTCTGTTCACACAGAAACCTGCACAGAAGTGTTATAGTAGCTTTATCTGTAAAAGCCCCAAACTGGAAACAACCCAGATGGTCTCTCAACAGGTGTATGGCTAAACAAACTGTGCTATGTCCATACTACAGAACATTACTCAGCAAAAACAAAAAAGGTAACAACCAGTACAACTCTAGAAGAGTATGCTGAGTGAAAACAGCCAAGGCTACATTCTGTACCATTCCATTTATATAACATTTTTGAAATGAAAATACAGGAATGAAGAACAGATGTGAGGTTGTCAAAGACTATGGAATGAGTGGGGGTGGGAAGAAAGCGGGTGTGACTATAAAAAGGCAACACAAGGGATCCTTGTGTTCTGCATGATCCACTGGGGGAAAGCAGATAAGGGGCACACAAGATCTCTGTAGTATTTCTCAACAACTACATGTGAAACTATGATTATCAATGTCCCCCCTTATCCATGGTTTCACTTTCCACAGTTTCAGTTACCCATTATCAACTGAGGTCTGGGAATATTAAATGGACAATCCCAGAAATAAGCAACTCGTAAGTTTTTAAAAGCATGCTGTTCCGAGTGCTGTGCTGCAATCTCCCACTGTCCCTCCTGGGGTGTGAATCGTCCCTTTGCCCAGCGCATCCACATGGCAGATGCGCCCGCTTGCCAGTCAGTAGCTGTCTTGATTACAAGATTGAATGTCATGGTATCACAGTGCTGTGGTCAAGTCGCCCTTACTTTACTTAATCAGGGCACTAAAGCTCAAGAGTACTGATGCTGGCAACCCGGCTCTGCCAAAGAGAAGCTGGAGAGTGCTACCTTAAGTGAAAAGATATGTATGTAAAGAAAAAAACATAGTACATAGAGGGATTCAGTACTACTCATGGTTTTAGGCATCCACGGGGGTAGAGGGGCAGTCTTGGAACACATCCCCATGGACAAGGGGGGACTACTGTATCTCAAAGTTTAAAAAGTCAATCTAGGCCAGCACCTAACACATTGAAATATGGACTTCTATTCAAGACTATTATTTCCAAATAAATTCTTCTAATAGTATGGAAACCTATTCGGTTTCCTCTTAAATTATTTCCTTTTAGCTCAAAATCTGAGCAAGGACATTTGTTCTCCAGTCCCACCTTGGTAGATAATCCTGTTGACGGCCAGAATGGTGAGCCTCTGCAGCCGCTGCGCAAGCTCCGCCTCGCTCGCCTGGGCGGGGCTCTCCTGGCTCATCCTCCGCTGCATCATCACGTGAAGCTCGTCACTGGCCACCGAGCGCATCCTCATCAGGAGGGAGTCAGTGTGAGCCACGGGGCACTTCCGAGGACCTTCAAATGTATCAATTAAAACATCAAATGTCAGAGTTAACGAGGTCAAGGAAACAATTTTTGCTGCAGCTTTTTGATCATCAGAACAGGAGAAGAACCTTATTTAACACACAATTAACTTACACAAAGGAGAGAGAAAGATTAGGAGAAAGTGACGTTTCTCCCTCTTTGAGGAAGTGCAACAGTACTGATTTCAAAATCCTGAGTAAGAGCACAGACGCTGGTGACCAGCTTAGGAGGATGGCTATCACTGGGCAAGATCTGAGTTTCCTGAAAACTCTGAGAATTAGAACGTACATATAAGAAGTTCAGAAAGTTTTGACAAAATATTTTCAAATACTGTTGCATTTCCTTGCATTCTAAAATAATCAGTAGATTTTTAAAGCACACTGTGTTTTAGTAAGAACATTACTATTTCTGGATAACTGCCACTGCTGAATTTTATAAAGTGGTTTTGCAAGTGTATATAGTGACATAGCAGAAATCATTCAAATGAAGGTGAAGAGATCAGAAGGGTGAGTATCATTCCAGTGATTGGCTGTTGAATGATTTGCTGCATATGCATCACTTGGAATTCAATCCTGCAAAAGCATTTCCTGAGAAATGTTTCCTCAGATTGCATAGGGAGGCCTGGCATTCAGCACCGTTACTGCACCTGCTCCGAGCAGTACCACACAGGGAGCGGATCCGGGAGAAAGTGGGGGGGAGGAGTCTTGACTGAGCGCACTGGAGGAGAAGGGCATCGGAAGTTGACCATAGGAACGAAAATGGCGTCTTGGTAGGTGAGGAAGAGCAGAACCCTTCGTTGGAACTGAACCTTTGTTTTAGATTATGAAAACATATATCAATTTCCATAAATAGCCTCTATAAACATTATTTACATATGACTAAAATATGATAACTTTTAATGACTTATCCTGCAAGATATTTAAATATCTTAATGGCATTTTAGATTGTCCACTATTTTAGGTAATTAGTATTTTTAACCTGTTAATGTATTTTGGTGGGTAGAGTCACCTTTGAGACAAAAAAACAAGCAAATAAAAAGAAAAAATTCATATCTGTGATATATTCAAGAACAATATTGTTAGACTTTGTCCTTAATTTAAGCAGATTCTTCCTAATCCCCACTTCTCTGACAGCTTTCACCTGTATAACAGCTGACAATGGCAATTCAGAGGTCCAGCCATACACTGGGCAGGAAATGCTATGGCTTCTGTACAGATATGTGCTTGACAAAGGGGGAATGGCTTCAGCTCTCATGCTGACAAAGGTGGGGACTTCAGCTCTCATGCTGACAAAGGTGGGGACTTTGGCTCTCATGCTGCGAAGCTACCTGAGCTGCTGAAGCCCTAAGTGCACTTTTTCCTAAGCCTCAGTTTCCCCATATGTAAGACACGGGTTAGAAAGTAAAATAGAGCCTATCCCACAGACAGACATTTGTCACTATCCAGCATTATATTAAATATATTTGTTTACAGGCCTATTGGCCATTTTCTCCAGTAAACTATAAGTTCCATGAGAGCAGATAAAATGATAACTGGTACATGGCTGATGCTCAGTAAATATGGTTGGTGGTTGGAAGAATGGATAAGGAGGGTTGTTCTGTGGATTAAATAAAATAGTGGTCATAAATCACAATGCCTGTTTCATACAAAGAATCAAGTTGTTAATAGCTGGTATTGCTATTAGTGGTTGAAATATAAAAGAAATTCATACAACATATATATATATATACACACACACACATATATTTTTTTATGAGTTTAAATATATGTGTAGCGCTTTAAATGACACCCTAATGCTTACTTACCTCCACATTCATGAACCAAGGTGATGTGTAAAGCTTTCATATTGATAAGCAGTGAAAAAAATACATATAAAAGAATGTGCATTGCCACCCTGTTTATAATAGCAAAAAGAGAAAAGTAAAACTATACACCTTTGTTTATTAATAAAGGTTAGGAAAGATGATCAGGAAAAATCAATATAACAGATCAGATTATTATGCATTCGTTAAACATGAATATTTGTATATTATTCTTTACATATATCCCTAAATGGAAAGATGTCTGTAATATGTGATTAGAAATAGAAGTCAGTTTACAAATGGAAGGTAGAGTAGCCTACCTCTGTGGCAAAATTCACACATTCTCTTATTTATCTCTACACCAAGAAACCCACAGAGGCAGGAACCGGTGCCTTGCTCTTATAGGGGTTGCTGAGCAGAACAACGGTGCAGGTGAGTCAGACTAACAAGACTAATCAGGCAGTAAAGCAGCATCTGACTCCTGAGAGTGAGAACTGAGCATGGAGACCTGATGAAGCTCCTGCTGTGGGACTCTGGCCCTGACCCGGCAGGTCCTCATTCCCAGGCTTAGCAAATCTCCCATCGAAGAACGTGGTGCGGCCCTAACAGAAGCTGAGCTGCTGGTCCCCACAAGTCCTGCTGCAGGTGCAGGGGTGGTGGTGGGGCTGGTGGTGCCTCAGCACATATTTCAATAAATGCCAAATGAGTCTGTTTAGATAAAAGCCACCCCACACTAGTGAGAGCTTGTTTCACATCTTTTCAGGGACAGGCTGCCACCCACAAGGTGGAAACAATGTCAAATCCCTGAGTTACTTTCGCAGCAGGAACAAGTGGACGTGGTGCTTTGGCACCACACTGCCCAGAGCAGGGGCTTCAGTGCAGGGTCCTTCTCACCCACAGTGTATGAAGCCAATATACTTTTTTGTTGTTTTGTTGATCCCCACCCAAGGATATTTTTTCCATTGATTTTTGGAAAGAGTGGGAGGGAAGGGCAGAGAGAGAAAGAAATATCAGTGTGAGAGACACACTGATTGGTTGCCTCCTGCACGTGCCCCAACCTGAGACAGGGATCAAACCTGCAACTGAGGCACAAGCTCTTGACCAGGAATCGAACCTGAGGCTCTCCGTGTGCGAGGGGCAATGCTCTTACCACTGAGCCCACCAGCCAGGGCACCAATATACTTCTGACAATGACTTTTCATTAACAGTGAACACAAAGAACACAGTCTTTCCCAAATACACATGTAAAACAGCATGGAAGGAATTAATAGCAATGACTTAACACATGCAAAGTGGCATTTTGTGACTGGATTTAGACATATTTTAATTAAGGTCGTATTTAAAACAGGAAAAATTCTTGAGAGAGATCTGAAGAGATAGATCCTAGAGATATGACAGACCTATTGTGACTGATGCAGCTGGTGTAGGACACAGGGAGGAGTGTAGCGTGAGTGATGAGGCCAGTGTGGGACACAAAAGGAGGAGTGTAGGGTTGTTGTTCAGCAGCCTGATTTAGACCTCAGGGGGTCTGAAAAATGAGGAGGCTGGACCTCCTGACTTCTAAGGTCTTTGACAGAGATTAGATTTGTAGGTTGGAAGCTTCACATGGTTCACTGGAAATGCACTGACAGAGTGCAAAATGTAAACCCAGGATAGGAGGCTAGAAAAGTCAGAAAAAGAAAGTGTCTTAGAGAAAGGACTAAAGGTCCATTATCTAGTTTAAAATGACTCAAACAAACAAATAATAAACAAAAACAAACTTGGAGGTACATGGGGCTCTGAGGCTGAAGGTGGTAAAAATGCTAGTATCTGCAGAGACAGAGGACGGTGTTAGAGAAATTGCAGAGCAAACAGAAAACGGCCAGAGGGCCACGTCCTGGCGCAGACCCAGAGCGATGGGAACCTCCTCCAGAGCCCTAGGGATAAAGGCAGAGGGAGACATCCAGGAGGGAAGCAGTGAAGGACACTTTCCTACACCAACAGAGGTGAGCTCCGTCTAGGCAGTCGCTGACTTCACAGGAGTCCTGCAAAGGAAGGCAGCTCCAGAAGTTGGCATCTGGCACAGGAAACTGAGCATTATTGCCCAACTTGGTATAAATGGAGTTCTACCCAGGACAAGAGTTACAGCGAGAAGGCAGCTCTCTCCAGAGGAGAGACTGCTGAGCTATTCGATTAAGGAAGGCTGTAGAGGGCAGTGTGGGTGTTTATGTCTTTTTTACATAAGCTTTTATTCAGCATAATCTAAACATACTACTGCAAGACAATGCATATTTAACAGTTTTATCTACAGATGAGTCTGTCACCTGGTTTTAAAGTCTGGCTGAGCACTGAATACAGTGGAGGAGTGTAACACATGCAGAAGACTTGCATTGAAAAGCCCTAAGACTGCAAAGGTGATTAAACTTCAAACAATTTCCCAAGTGATCTGCTTGGAGATATATGTATGCATACATACATGTCCTGTATACAAACATACATGTGTACATACATGTGTGTGTACCATCTATGGAGAGGTGTTTTATGCTATCTTTCCGGATTACATGTATAAAGTTCATAGTGGATTCTGTAGAAAAATAAGCAAGTCTAACAACGATAATACTTATCATTTGATGCTTTGTACTAATTTACAGCAAACCTTGATGTCACGTGCTTCCAGCCACATCACCTCCTGCCTGGACCCCCGCACCCTCTCCTGCTCTCCCCTATCCCCCGTCCACACAGGAGCCACTGTGGTCCTCAATGAAAATGTGAGCATGTCCTGCCACCTGCTTCACCTGCTTTGAACTTCCTGTTAGGATGAAGCCTGAACCCTGCGGCATGGTGCTGTGACCACATGCATGCCGGCCCTCGCCAGCCGGCGGCCTCACCCTCGCCCCTCACCCAGCACCAACTCCAGCCAGCAGCTTTCTCCCACTTCCCCGAGCAAACTTTGCTGTCTCCTGCCTCAGATCCTTACGTGAGCCAACCACTCTGCCTGTGACACCGTCCTCTGACCTTCTCCCTTGCTAACCCTTTCTATGTTTTACGTCCATTAAGTCTCACCTCCTCACACATTTCCCTACCTCCTGATATAAATCAGGTCTCATTCCTATCCCTACATTTCTCTACTATTTTATAACCTCTGCAAGGACAGACTCTGTGGCTGTTTTCTAAATCACTGTATCATTACATTTAACACAGTGCTTAGCACATGATGGGTGCTCAAGAGATAACTAACTTAAGATAATTAACTTAAGAGAACAGCACGGAGAAGAAAGCAGAGGGTAGCTTCTTCTGGGAGGAAAACTTGCTCAAACTTTACAGCTTAAGTTTTTAAACTAATAGTATTTAAAAGTGTGAGTGGTATCAGAATACAGGAAAGCCTAGCTCCCCACAGCTCATAATTATTGAATTGCTGTCTCAGTACTCACCAGCAATGCTCCTTCGCTTCGGGAACAGTGGGTGATGGGGAGCAGAAGGGGGCGGGGAGGGGTCTGGGAGGCTCTCAGAGCCATGGTGTGTGGTGGTCCTGATGAACTCCATGGCAGCCTGGAGAACTCTGAGCTGCAGGGCAGCAGCCATGCCTAAAAACAGCAGGCACGGAATGTTTACAAGTTGTGTGCTGTCAACTCTGACTTTTATATTCATGCGCTACCTAAACTGTAAATTATGTTTCATTAGAATAAATTAAAAATTTTAAATCAATATGGGTTCTTGATGGTAGTAAACATTTTTAACTGTCTTTAAAGGCAATTTTAAAGCAAATTTCCAAATGGTCACTATAAAATACTAGCCCACAAATTTATTTCACTTTATATAATTGTTTTAAGGAACAAGATTTTTAATATGTATAAGTTTACTCAGAAATTCTCACATTTTTCTGTTTCATATTTGCTTTAATATTTGCCATTAAAGAAAACTAGAGGGCATTATTGTTCAACATAAGCCTTTTAATTCTACTTGGTAAGGAGAATCAGCAACTTCTTTTAATATGTTGCCAGCTACTAATTACATGGAGGCACCACTTTTTTAAAATTTTTACCACTTAGAAAGGCTTCTTTTGCCCGGCCAGCGTGGCTCAGCGGTTTGAGCATCGACCTATGATCCAGGAGATCATGGTTCGATTCCTGGTCAGGGCACATGCCTGGGTTGTGGGCTTGATCCCCAGTAGGGAGCATGCAGGAGGCAGCTGATCAGTGACTCTCTTATCATTAATATTTCTATCTCTCTCCTTCTCCCTTCCTCTCTTTGAAATCAATAAAGACATATTTAAAAAAAAAAAAAGGCTTCTTTTTAAAGGTGATAGACATCATCACAAAATTAAGTATAAACTTTCAGCAAAACAGTTTCCAAGAAGAAAAATATTAGGTTTCAAATAACACTTTTGGCTACTATCCAACTCCCCCCAAACTCTGTAAAAATGAAATCTTACTTTGTGTCCTCTTGTTTTTGCTGTTTTGAAGATATCCAAGCAGTACAATAAGGTCTTCGATAACTCTAAAATACTGTGAGCCCGAGGAGCTGCAGGCATGAATTGTAACGGCTATGAGAATCTGCTGTATGTCACAAGCGAGCAATCGGTATTCATGCGAAGGAATGCTAAAGGGAGAGAAGAAAAATTTAAGGCCTGGCTGAAGTTCTCATTCTACCAGCCTGCATTCATCCACCGCTTATTTGTGCCTGCTCGGTGGCAGGTAGCATGGAGACAGGTATAAGAAGACACACACCGACTCTTGTCAGAAAGCTGATTGTCTTGCAGAGAACCAGACAAGTAGAGGTAAAATGTAAATGGTGTTAATGACAGAGGTTAACACAAGCTACTACGGGAACATATAGGCAGGTGTCTAGCCCACACTAAAGGTGGGGATTTTGTGGGTATGAATAGGAACATTTTGAGAAGACTTCTCAGAGAAGGTGAATTTGAATATGTTAATCAACCTCTGAAACTCACTTAGACAGATTATAGTTATTTTAAGGATTCAAAGAGATAAGAGATTTGAACATACATTAATCACTTGTAAATACCTAATACATATGAATTTTATTTCTGTCCCTCAACTTTTAACCTTGAGAATCTACCTTAGTATGTTATATTAAGCATAAATACTTATCTCAATTTACTTTTCCAAATCAAACAAGACTTAGAAATGGCAATTGTTTTGGGCCAATTAATAAAGTAGCATATTAGGGACATTCAGGAAGTACAATTTATTTAATTTTTAATTTTTATTTATTTATTTTTAAAATAGATCTTTATTGATTTCAGAGAGAGGAAGGGAGAGGGAGAGAGAGAGTTGAAACATCAATGATGAGAGAGTCATTGATCAGCTGCCTCCTGCACACCCCCGACTGGGGATCAAGCCCGCAACCTGGGCACGTGCCCTGACTGGGAATGGAACCGTGATCTCCTGGATTCTAGGTCAATGCTCAAACCACTGAGCCATGCCTGGCCAGGCAAATACAATTTATTTTTTAAAAAAACTACTTTCAGAAGAAGCCTGCAGGAACTCTTTCCGAGTTCTGCCAATTTCATGCTTTGCACTGTAATCAAAACTAAGTGTTTTGAGGAAATGTAACACTTTGTATTCTTTTTATTTCTCACATGCTTAGCATATAGATCCTAAATAGAATAGTTGCCCAATAAAAACTAAACTGAGCTGAGTACAAGGAGTGCCTGTTGTACTCACAGAAACTACTTGGCTGAGAGCACTGATTTTCAACCTTTATCATCTCGTTACACATAAATTACTAAAATTCTGCAGCACACCAAAAAATATATTTTTTGCCCATCTGACCAAAAACCCACACACATGTATAATTTTGAATCAGTCACACCAGATGGCTGCTGTTGTGTTGGCTGTTGTCATTTTTTATTTGACAATCTAAGGAAAAAGAGGTCAGAGCCCCTGACTAAACAGTCAGGTGTTTCACGTGTTAATAATTCTTGTGGTGCAGTGGTTGAAAATCGCTGGCCTAGAGAATCACCAACCAGGATATGCTCCACCTTCTCTGCAGAAACAGAGATAATACTTACTGCTTGAACAGGCAGTAAGATGGTGCTTCTGGAGATTTATATTTTAACATTATGCTAATAAAACATCATACTGTACATCATAAATGCAAACATCAAAGTTATAACACTCCAATAAACTCCTAACATGCTTCTCAAAGTTAATCAATTTGGTGAGCAGCCATTTGCCAATATCCTGTGACAATTAAAAATTAATTTGTGGCTGTGGACATAAAGGAATAGCATGTGATTCAAAACAAAGGCTTTTGAAGTGAGACATATATAGTCTCAAGTGCTCTGCTATTTACCAGCTGTGTGAGCCTCTAGTGACTGTCTCTCTCTAATCCCCAAGTTCCTATTCCTCATGGCATAATAATTTTTACAAGACTATAGTGGAAGCTTGGGAAATAGTTTTGCGAATGTGAAACACACAGTTTACTCTATTACTATTAATTATTGTTTTTCCGTATGAACAAATGTAAACCTACATTTGCCCCACCCTGTATTTGAAGACAGTTAAATTCATTCAACTTGTCTTCAGGTTCTAGACACCTAAAAGGTCATATAAATACCGTCTTTTAACCAAACTTTGTTGAAAATGATGGAAAATATGTACCCTCCAAATTTAATCTAACTTGATTTAATCAGTTTTGCGGGAAAGAAGTTCTTTGAAAGTATTATGAAAAATCAGATACTTTAATATAACCTATTACTAAAGTTTTCCCTTTCCAAAGTATTCATCAGATGTAGCTTTAAATAGTGATTTGAAACTTACTTGTTTTCTAATCCGTTCAGGGCTGCTACTGTATTACACAGCACGTAGAGAAGGCCATTATCCAACAACATATCTGCTACCTTCGAACAACAATTTAGTATTTGGAGGAGAAGTAGGAGAGTATTATGCAAGAGCGTGTTGTCATACAGAGAGGTCTCTACTAGTCCCAGGATGGGAATGACAGCCCACTTCTGAAAAAGTCCCATGTTTTTCACATCTTCCTGATCAAATCTATAATAAATAATACACAGTTAAGAGCATATCAGAAGCAATTCACCACAAAGTAAAGAAAAATGATTGCAATATGGGCTGTTTGTTAACCTAATTTTGAGGCTATAAAAATAAATTTGGGGAGCAAGGATTATTAATCTTGTTTTAGACCCCTCCAAAAATAAGATAAAAAGTGTTGTTAGAAATCTGTCCCAAGGTAAATACACAAACATACAAATAAAACATGTAAACAATTTCATGGTTTTAAATGACTCACTTTAACTCATGCATTGGCTCCTTAGGGGTCTATGTAACAAGTACAGAGGAAAATAATAATAATTTAACATGGCATTTAAAAAATATCTTTACTGTTGAGAGTACTTGACAGACCTGAGGTAGTAAACAGAGGTCTAGCAAAGGGCTTGATCTCTAGTCCGGATACTATCTGCCTCTGTCATGGAGGGAGACTATTCAAGCCTTTTGTGCCTTATTTTCCAATGTGTCAAATATGGGTGGGATATCTGCCCTATTTTTTCTCAAGGTTGTTGTGAGAATCAAATGAGATAATGCAGGATGGCTTTGAAAGAGCCAAAAGCTCTATGCAAATGAAAGTACTGCTGTCGTGACTGCGATAAATCCTCAAGGTCTGAATTGGTCTACTTAATAATAAGCTGGAGACACTTAATAATAATAATAGTAATGAGACAATCATCTCTATCTATCACAGACAAATGTAACAGTTTAACTTTCCTGCCAAACTTCTGGTTTGGGAGGGAATATTCTTTCATTTTCGCTAATCCTTCAGCATTGTCCTAGGACCAGAACTCAGCCATCAGTACACCAGGAATTCCAGGTGAGGGACTGGCTCTTCCCCAGACGACCTGAAGGCTTGCATGGGAGAGAGGGGCTTCTCCATGGACCACTCATGCAATCTGTTGCTGAGAACATATGGGTCACCCTTCTGTTTAGTAACCTGCTCATGTTAATACTAGACGCCTAATCTTCACTCTCTCTTTAATTTACACAGCATTTACATTTCTAGTCACTAGCTAGTGAATGAAATACAAAGGGGTAAGTTATATTAGAAAGACTTGATAGTCATAGAAAATAATAAATTGATTCACCTGGAAAATGACTTCTAGCAGATTTTTTCTAAAAGTGACCAATACTTTTGTTAAGAGTCAGTTTCTTAAATTTTACATTAAGACAAAAAGATCCTCACGTATGGTGGAGGGAAGAAACCACTTACTCTTCATCAGGGCCAATATGTCGACCAAAGAACATTTCTATGAAGCATTCTAACACCTCCTGAGTTCCCTGGTGAAGATACAACTGGTTGGCTAGCAAGGAAAAGCCACGATTCTTCAGAAATTTATCTTTTTGTTCCTTAGATGCTCTATTAAAATATGCATCTAAAAGCTAAGGAAAAATTAAAATAATTTAGATAATGTATTAAAATTTTATATAATGTATACAAATCAGACAATTATACTTGTATTTGAAAGTTATTGTTTAATTTCATGTATGTAGAACATAGAAAGCTCCAAAAAATGCCACCTCCATAGCAAAACAAAATACTTTGTCTCTGACTTACTACAGAATGCTAATGAGGACTCTATCTTGGAGACCTTAATACTTCTGTGATGGGAGAGCCAGCTTTTTAGCTGAACATGCCACCTAGTGGACTGGCAGACTTAGTCAAGTATATGTAGAATATTTGTGCCTAATTCTGAAGGAAGAAATCCAGTCAACACAGTTCTACACTCTCTCTACAAGCGCGCGTGCGCGTGCGTGCGTGTGTGTGTGTGTGTGTGTGTGTGTCTGACCTAGACCTCTGTTTCTAGACATCTTGACAGACTGTTTACCCTAAGCACAGGCCTATGTTTCCACCCTAGCATCTTAAACATAATGTGTAAAACCAAATTAGCTATTTTTCCTTCCAAACTCATTTCCAGGGTTCCATCCTCAGAGCACAGGAGCACCATCCTCCTAGACTTCAGGACTAATCTTTTCTTGTCCCGACTCCCATGTGTAATTATAAAGGTACCACTCCTCCATTCTGGTCAGTGTCTCTCCGATCCGTCCATCCTTTGAACTCTCACTTCCCCAGACCAGGAACTCGTCACTTCTCCCCTGGCCTGCTGTGCTGGTCCTGTCTCTCAGAGAACACTGCACCTCTCCCCTGCAGCAACTCCCTTATAGTGGTGACAGATGCCTCTTTTCCAACACGCATCTGTTCACTGCCCCACTTAAAAAGCTTTCTAAGTTCACAGCAGAATTCCTTCTGCACAAATCTGTCCCTGGTTCCCCCATCAGAATTCACTGCTTTCCTATGCCCCTGCTCCTCATTAGTAATACCGCCAGTGAAGCACTCACCATAGAAGTTTATGTTTACTTAGTTGGCATGTGTGTCTCTCCCTCCCTAGACTATAAAGTCCCTGAATGTATGGGCTTGTATTATCCCCTTACCAACCACATAGCAACTAGCCCAGTGTTTTGCACGTGAAATGGAAGCTCAATAAATAGTGGGTTGAATTACAAGTGGTTACATAATATTCTACATCTACATGTTTATTCATAGCTATTTATTTAGTACCTATTATATACCAGACACTAGATGCCTACCCTCATGGAGCTTTTATTTCAGTGTGGGAGATTCATAAATCAAAAAGGTAGACAACCAGGATGCCATGATATAGTGAGGAACAGGGCTGGAGGGAAACTCTTCAGAAGGTGCTCAGGGATGGCCTCTGAGAGATGACATCTGAGTGGAAACCTGAAGTAAATGTCTAAAACCTGAGCCTCTGGAGGAGGGGTCAAAATTACATGACAATGCACATGAAAATACGAGTAAGAGCTCATTATTCCAAAGTATAAAATAAAGGCACTACAACAGCTCATTATTCCAAAGTATAAAATAAAGCTTTAGGTTTACTTTAACATGTATATGTATTCAGATCATAAATCACCCAAGTATTTTTCTGAATTAAAGCCACACCCAGCACCTGTCCTTACCTTAATGACCCCCTGCTGTATCGCAGGCGAGGGGTGGTTCACCAGGACCAGCAGCACCTCGGCCTGAATAAGCTTGTCCATCACATCGTCAAGCATAGCGTCAGGCAGGATGAGGAGGACGCCACTGAGGAGCTCATATAACCCGCAGCATATGGGAACCAGGCAGTCTTCAGCAACCCTGAAACAGACCCAGGCCCTCTTACTGACAGCATCCAGGAGAAAAGCACGCAATGAATCCCTTAAGAACTGTGATGAGCATAGCCATGAGTGCGTACCAGGTGGGGAGCATTCTGAGAAAGGCGTCATCAGGCGATTCCATCCCAGTGTGGTCACAGAGTGCACTCCCACACCCTGGGCGGTGCAGCCTCCTGCTCACTTCTGCTAGAGGGGACACTACCATCGTACATGCAGTCCCTTAGTGACTAAAAAGTCATGATGCTGTGCATGACTATGTACAGTAATAATGTTTTTTTAAATGTTTTTATTGACTTCAGAGAGAGGAAGGGAAAGGGAGAGAGAGATAGAAACATCAATGATGAGAAAGTCATTAATCACTGTCTCCTGCACGCCCCCTGCTGGGGGTCGAGCCTGCAACCCAGGCATGTGAGCTGACCGGGAATTGAACAGCAATTGCCTGGATCATAGGTCGACGCTCAACTGCTAAGCCATGCCAGCTGGGCTGCAGTAATAATTTTAACATGTGAAACCAAATGTCAAAATGTCAAAATTTAAAATGTTTCCTGACTTAACTATGATTCACAAACTTGCCATCAGTTTTTGTCTCCGGTATTTTTTAGGTATACAGTCTCCTAAACACTTATTTTATTCTATGCCTGTGAAGTCCAATCCTGCAGTCACTCACCACATGTGCTACTGAACTATTTAGAATTAGATAAAAAGTCCAGCTCTGCCTTTGCACTGACCACAGTTCAGGTGCTCAGCAGGCACATGGCCAGGGTCTGCTCTGTTGGGCAGCACAGGTGAGACATTTCCATCATCACACATGGCTTCATTGGACCGTGCTACTTGAGGTGGTTTTGGAAACAATGATAAACCTCATAATCTCCCTGAACTGAATACTTTTTCTCTAATAACCATAAAGAATTAAATAAACCACAAGTTTGATTTCTTTGAGAGCTATTTATGGTTTAGTGTTTGGCTGAATATGGAATTCAATATTACCTGGTATTAAAACAAGGAGAAAGGTATCTTTCTGTTTGTCATTAATGTATGTTTTATTGTAAGAAGTGACATAATGAAGCCATTTCTAGACATGTAGAATTCTTAAAAGAACAGTAAACCATGTGGAAGGGGGGCATGCAAAAAAGTGTACCTGTGAGCAGTGGCAATTCGGCTGTAGGGCTCATACCGAGGAGAACAGGCAAAGGTTTCCCATTCCTCGGTGTTCCTGTCAACAAGACTTGGCCAGCGGCGCACCACTGCTGCTCCGTTCTGGGAAGGAAACGCCAGCCCCAGGCTTGCGATGGTGCTGTGGCTGCGCTGGAATGAGGCCAGTCCCTTCAGGTAATCAGGGCGGCGTGGGCAGGACTCGTCCCCAGGGCTGTCGCCATCTGCACTGGGTTCTGCTTCCAACTCTTTCTGATCTACTTTGACCACTGGAAACTCCAGTGTTCCTCTGGGGCCCCCACTGATGGAGGCTTGTCCTGAGAGGACAGGTTCCATTTCACAAACTGCTTTTGCAGACTCACAGCTGCTGATGACTGCATCTTCTTCGCCTTTTTTCAGTGACTCTGAACTGCCCGGAGGACTCCATTCCTCAGGCTGGGGTGCAACGCAATGATCCACCGTACCCTGTACCTTGTCAATGCCACAGTCCGAACTGCCCGTCAGTTTTCGAGGTGGCATTAAAGAGGTAGGAAGTGCCGGCAGGCTTCTGGAGCGCCGCAGGCCAGCAGCTGTCTGCGGTGGAAGGCCACTGGAGGAACTGTTTCCTGGTAAGAGTGGACGGAAAACATTACCAAAAACCTGTGAAGGGGAGCACTACCCTTCTGCGCTATCAGCCACAGCCATGGCAATAGCTCGCTCACCCAGCAATGGTCAAGAACCCATATAGGTCAGTGCTCTTAGTAACTGTTTAAAGCTCTTGAGTATCTGAACTATTTTTCTTTTAATTATTTTTATTAAAGTCTTCCACAAATGTCTTATCCCACCTTCTTAACAAAATACAATATTAATTGAATGCTTCAAAATCATTAGGACTCATGATTCTATTGTAGTGAAGTTAAGTAAAACTTCATTTCCCTGCAGTCACCAGGGCGCAGTCTGAGAGAGTGGAAAGAGCAGACTTTGCAGCTGTAACTGGACTCAAGTGATAGCTATGTTATTATGGGGCCTTGGGTAAACCATTTAATTCTATGAATGCTGGTTTCTGCACATCTAAAATGAGGGCTTAGAATTATCAACTCTGAAGGTTGCTTTAAGCAAAAGTGAGGTCATATTTGCAGTGTGCAGAGCATAGTAGCCAGCAAGGAATAAGTGCTTGATAAATGGCAGTAATAGTCATATTATTGTCATTATGACTAGACTAACATAAGTCTTTCTCTCCTCCATTTCTGTAGTCACTCCTTGCTACTCTTGGTGAGAAGCAATAATTTTTTCCCTTCTTGCTATAGCTCTCTAATTTGCTGCTTCTAATATTCTATGTTGGAGACCAGAAATATCACTCATTCTAAGTGCAGGAGATATTGGTGAATGCTATATGGTATGGTCTATGGACCAGAAACTGGAATCGGCGCCACCGATGTGACTGTTAGGAATGCACATCCTCAGGTTCCACCCTGGGTCTACTGAACCAGAATGTATTGGGCGGGGGGCAGGGATATGCATTTTAACATGCTCTCTAGCTGATTTTTTTGCATGCTAAAACCTGAAAAGCCCTCATAAAGAATGAATAGGCACTGAATGTATTGCTTTAGGGCATAGACTTTGTGGTAATAAAATAGCTTCACAGCTCAGAAGTTTCTCCTAGTTATTTCTGGATTTTGGCCAGAGGGCTAAACGATTCTGTTCCAAAGAGCTGGTAAAATGACTATATTTGAAAACCTTTCAGAATGATGCATAATTATTTTTAAAAATAGGCATTTGCTATAAAATTAATTAAAACATGGCCTTAAAATAGTATAATAAAAGGCCATAAAATATGTCAAGAAGAATGGAAATGTCCTGGGAGAGCAGTGGAACTGGAGATCAGGGCCTTCTATCTCGTCCTATCTGCCACAGCCCTATCTTGCCTGCAGAGTTTAACAGCCTGTACTGCGGCCTGAGACAAGACTGTGGGGCTGACAGCACAGCAACACCTCAGCGCGGGACAGGCCAGCATCAGGAAAGGGTGACACTGGCCAGTGCACAACCAGGACACACCCCAACTTCTTCTCTATGACAGCAGAGATGAGGTAGTCTGTTAGGAGTAAACTGGAAGGTAGCAAAGACTGTAAGCTTACAGACTTGAACATACTTGCTATGAAGGCAGAAGAGGGAATTAATTCTGAAATACAGAATTATAGGGCAGCCAGCATGAAGGCCAGTGACAGTTGGAGACTTGTAATGGCAGGAATCCACAGCAATGACTTTCTCTAGCAGCTTTTGGCAGTGTGAGGATGGTTAGATTGAGGCAAGGGTAGGGTTTTTCAGGTCAAAAATGCCAAAAACGCCTAGGACAAGGAAACTGAAGACAGTGTTGAGAAAAATACTGGCTAAGGGATCTAGGCTGGAGGAGGAAAACAGGCAGATGGGGACTTGGGACAGATGGAGGAGCCAGAAGACAGAAGCCTGCTACTGAGGAGTGGGACACAAGTCTCCAAGGTGGGGAGCACTCCTGCTGCTGCTGAAGACCAGGACAGATGCACGCATACTGGCAGGCAAAGCTGAGGGGAAGGTCACCTGAGTCAATGACCACGAGGCTGGAGTGCTGATGGCCACTCACATGGCCAGTGAAGTTACTTAGAATGTTGAGTTCAGGTAGGAAGGAGAAAGTAGGCCAAACAGAGCTCTGAAGATGGTGGGAAATAAACCAGAAGCTTAAAGACAAATGACCAGGGTTAGAGGGACAGAGCTGCAGAACAGGACAGCGCAAGCCCCATCGGTTCCCTAAGTTCTCCTGAGCATCTCCTGCTAGACTGGGAGTCACCGATACCACAACGCAGAGAAATGGATCCCTTAAACAGACTCCGAAACGTCTGAGTTTGACCTTCCCCTTGCTTAGCCTGGGCGTCAGGCCGGGCTGCAGTGCTGATGCAGACACCCGAGTCTCTCGCCACGACCGGAACGGCGGGAGGCTGTGCTCTCACGTGCACCATCCTACCTTCAGGCGCAGCAGCGAAGCCCGACTGGCCAGCTGCCCTCAGCGCGGGCCTGGGGGCAGCCCTTCCTGCGCTGCTGGAGCGCCGCAGGTGCACGATCGACTCCACCTTCTCCCGGAAGATCTTGCCATCTAGAATAAAAAAAATTTTTGAGACAGTAAAACTTTAAAAAAGGATAAAACAAAAATGTAACTTTCAAAGCAGATCATCAAATACAAATTCTTCCAGAACAGAAGGTGCTCAAAGAGAAAACTGTGGCGTACTTCATACTGATCACATCTGAGCTGGGTGCCAGCCACCTCGCTCTAAGCTTTTGTGGACCACTGTCCTTGGGTTCCTGCCATACTTAGTCATCCTACAGCTGAAGAGCTACCTGCTTATTTTATGTTGATCTGGCTTCTCTGAGGAGCTGCCCTCCTCTTCATTCCCTGAGGAAAGGACTGTCTTATATTTTTATGTCTCCTTCAAGGTCCAAAACGACTCCAAAATTGAAGCCTACAGCTTAATCTTCCTTCCTGAACTTCATACTTACAAATTCAACTGCTTCATTTCTTCAATGCAATACAAATGCAACAAATCTAAACCTGAACTGTCTCTCTGCCCTAAAGTCACTCCTGCTCTGTTCCCTGGTTTGGGGAAACACCCATTTTCCATGCAGAGACTTGGGGCCACCTTGGGCCACGACCTTCCTTCACCCACAAGTCAGGCTCCAGACTCTACTGACTGGATTCCCTGTTTCCTGAGCTCCTCTCATCCCCTGCAGTCCTATAGTACAGGCTCTTACCACCTCCAACCTGGATTATTGTCACAGATTCTGAACGGTTCTCATGATGGACATGTGGTCATCTTCAAATCATCATGGCTACCAGTATTCTAGCAAAGTCAGTCCCTGCTTACAACCCTCCAGTGCCTCTCTGCTGCCTCCTCACCACTCTGGGACAAGCAGCTTATCTACAAGAATCTCCAGGATCTGTCCCCAGGCCCATTTCCAGCCTGTTTTCTTCCATTACACTTTAGCAACTCCTAGTTCTCACAGCTCCCTGTCAAGCTGTTTGCTCTGCCTGGGCAGCCCTTCTCTTCAACTCCTAATCGCCCTTTAAGACTCAGAGCAGGCATCACCTCCTCAGGAAACATCCCCTCACCATGCTCTCTGTTACCAGAGAACAAAATGTTTGTATCACTGTGCTTTCCACACAGTGTAACTATCTGTTTATGTCTCTCCCCCCTCTTTCAGGCTGTAATCTCCTTAAGGGAGGAGACCATATTTACTCATCTTTGCAATTACCCTGCTCCCAAGATCATGACGGTACTTTAATCACTAAATGTGTGCTGAACCTAACACAAAGTCACGCTGCTCACTTCACTTGGATTTTTACTGCTGCTGAATATTACATTCCTTCAATGGCTGTTTTACAACCATTTTCCTAAGGTACTATCTAGCTTTCTCATAGGTGTGGTCTTGCTGGCTTTCTCGCCACATTACATTTTACTAGTTCCTTAGAAGTCTGACTAGTTCATCTTTCTCTTACACCGATGACTTTCTCACTGCTCTCTCAACAGCATTATTACCAACAGTTCTATCCTTAGCTTCTGTTTCCTTCTCGCTCTCTCCACTTTTCTTCAGGGGTCTCATCTAAGAACTTCGACTCACTTCTATGGAGGTAGTTTCTCCCTCCTGAATTTTACTGCAATAATTTACTTAAACCACACATCTCTTTGCTTAAAACAAAGAGACACAACACACAAACCCTTCAATGACCCTTAACTAGAACACTACAAGTTCAAATTCTTACATCCAGGGACTCAATTAATAGGACCTTAGAGAAAAAATAAATGATGGTCCCAAACTATATTTATATTATTTCTCACTACTCCTTATAGATCCTCTTTACTTAGGTAACATTCATTATTCTTTATTTCTTATTTCTATTTTTCCTCCCTTTACGTCATTCTCTTCACCTGGAATGCTAATTCTGCAATCACCTATCAAATTCTACCTAAATTCCTCAGTGTCAGATATGTAAGCTATTAAATCTTCTCTTTCCACAGCTGTCAGATGGAACCTCACTCCTCCAAGATCCAGTCAGTTCTTCTGTTGTATCTATTAGGTACTTACCAAGTCTGTTTCCTACTGTGGTTATCTGAGTTATGTCTCCTCTCTCCTCTTGGTGTTTAAGCTCTCTGAAGGCAGAGACCATGTCTGGTTCATTTCAGAGCCCTCTGCCCTGCCCCAACTGTGGTATGCAATTAGGGCAATTTCTATTACACAGGCCACCCAATGAATAGCAAACAAACGGGATGAAGTGAGAAGAAAACACGAGAATGGAGACAGCTGAGACCTAACAAAAATGATTATACTCACCTATGTGCAAAGAAAAGTAGAAGTTTGTGGGGTTGTGGCAAACGTAAGTATTAGTAGGAGGGTGAACTGCTAACAGGAAATTGAAGATAATTGTCAATAATTCCAAATCTGGAGGAGATCCAAGGACTTCTGCTATGATTTTCACAAATGATCTGCAGACCTCTCGGGACATGGATGTAAGCTGCCCCTCCTTGTGTTCCTGAAAAACCAGAATCAGACTCTCCATAGATTGAAAGAGAACTGTCGACTTAATTAACATTTTTCATTTAAGCTAGACGGTCCTTTTATGACAGAGCTGTGCCGATTTGCTTCTCCAGTCTGACCACATTCACCATTACACTGAGTTGCTATTTCTCGATTCAAGGACTTCCACTATTAAAAACTCTTTAAGCCCTGGATGGTTTTGCTCAGTGGTTAGAGAGTCAGCCCACGGACTGCAGGGTCTCAGGTTTGATTCCAGCCAAGGGCACGTAACTCAGCTGCAGGCTTGATCCCCAGCCCCAGTCGGGGAGCATTCCGGAGGCAACTAATCATTGTCTCTCTCTCACATCCATGTTTTTCTCTCTCTCTCCCCCTTCCACTCTCTCTGAAAAGTAATGGAAAAAATATCCTTGGGAAAGGATTAAAAAGAAAAGATTATTAAAAAAAACAACTCACTAAAACCAATGGCAATTTAATTCTAGCCCACTTATCCTAACTAACTGTGGCAAAGCTGTCTTCCAGTGTTGCCACGCAGGATTCAAACTGCCAAGGTTTGCATCCTGGCTCCTCCGCTCACTAGCTGCATGGCCCTGGACAGTTACTAACTCCACGCCTCACAGTATCACACGGGAACACTGTGATCCTAGTGTTACTCTACGGGCTGTATGAAGAATAAATGATGTAAGCTCTCAGAACAGTGCCTCACATGCAAATGTTACTACCGTCGGTACTCCTGTCACTGCTGTCATCACCACTTCTGCTACTACAGAATCTGAGGGAACATTTTTGGTAGACAAAACTAATGACATTCACACAGCATGCCCAGTTTATAAAGCACTTTTTCACAGCAACTCTGAGAGGTTTGATCCCTGATTTCTGGAACATGAAGGCTCAGAGTGGTTATGTATCCGACAACTTAAACCACACAGAAAACATGACTCAGACTCAGACCTCTGCCATCTTCCTGCTGTGTCGCCTGCTGCCGGAATAATGAGATCTGGCAAACTGCCAGGTAATTACTAAAAGTAAAGATGAGTATAAAATCAATTATACTCTAAATTCTTCCTCCCCAGTGGGCAGCACCTCTAGATGGAAGGCTATGGGAGTTACACATCCTCACCTTCCCTCTCCCAAACCCAAACATGTATCTCAACACCCACTCCTCAACACTCACTCCGCATCCTGCTAAATCAGAAACCTGAGATCTACCTGGTAACTTTGAAACAGTTCAGCCTGAGTCTATGGAAGAAGCACAAAACCCCCTGCCAAGGCATCACAACTGCCAGTGGCCACGCCAGCAGAACTCAGGCCTCCAGGTCTCCTGATTTCCAGTGCAGTGTTATTTCTGCTACAACCAGCTGCCCTTGCTCTAAATCGTGCCCTTCTACTGCCCCAAATCTCCTAGTCACAACCTTCGTCATTCATGCCTGAGTCCATCCCAGCCTATGTTTCTTCAATCCTGCCCTCTCTACTGACTCCTTACGAACAGTCACTAGTATCCTATTTCATTAAAAAAAAAACCCTGAACTTGACCTATTGAGACCCTTTCATTAATATTGTTTCTCTTTCCTTTTGCTGCTGGACCTTTCAGTCATCATTTATTCTCACCACCTCCCGTGATTCCACTGCACACGCCTCCTTAAGTCCCAGACATCAGGCTCATCTTCACCTGAAACCCTGCCAGCCACTCAGCACAGCCAAGCTGACGGCCCCTCATGTCTACTTGTTCTTTGAACTTTCTCCATTATTTGGTGTAGAAACCACCTCTTTCCAGGCAGGTTCTCTCTCGAGGACTCTTTCTCCATCTCTTTCTACAGCTCCTGTGTCCTTCACACCCTGAAATGGGTGTTTCCTGAGGGGCAGGACCTCTCACTACACTTGTTTATATTTAGTGCCTTTCTACCCCACAGCTTCGCTCTTTGCTAGTGCAGACCCATCCCAACCTTGCTCCAGTCCTCTCCCCACTTCCAACCCTGCCCATCTCAGTGCCTGGTGGTCACTGCCACTGGACATCCACTGTAATCTCAAATGCAGAGGGTATAAATGACAAAATGGCATGTTTCATTCTTCTTTCTTGGATGGTGCTATCATTCCTCCAGTCTCCCAGTGGGAAATTTTACATGATAGATTTGGGTCTCCTGCAGCTTCTATGTAAACAGAATCGGTCCCCTTCATATTTGTCCTAGTTTTACAGTCCATTCTCATCACCCAGGGCCAGGTCTCTACACTCCACTCATGAACCAAAGGAACTGCCTCACGTCCAATATGCCACCATTGTTACGCTCCTTCAATACTGAGATACCTTAAAGGCAACGACTCAGTTCACTTCTTCATATACACCCCACAGCACCTGACATAAAGCTATTCTTAATAAATGTCAATTTGATAACAGACTCTTTGAATGAAGGAAGGTAAAGAAACACACTTTTCAGGAAAAGGACTGGCATCTGGATTTTTCTAGCATTTTAGAAACAATATGGAAGTGAGATTATATGCTGAAATATCTAAATTTATGTGTTACTGTCTGAAATGGAAAGACTGAATATCAACTTCACACTGTCAGACAAACTCGCTGAAAAACGGCCAAGTTTCTAGGTGGATATACAAAGCAAGTCACTTAGAGGACTACTGATGTACAAATATCATAAAAGGTTCAGTAAACAAGGGGCGTTCGAGAGCTGTATCACAGGCCTGAAGACTGCAGTCTCATTTACACAGGGGCTGAGAACGACAAGAAAGTGTTTTTGGGTTTTTTTTAGGATCCATTCATTCACTAAATACTGGGCGTGGCAAAAGTAGGTTTACAGTTGTTCGTATGGAGAGTACAGTAATTAATACATAGTAATACAAGAATAAACTCTGTGTTTCTCGTACTTACAACTGTAAACCTGTATGTGCCAGGCACTGTGGTTACCATGTGATCAACAAAAACATTACCCCTGCCCTCAGGAGGTCTACAGAGGGAAATAAACCATGATGTCATAATCAACGTAAAGCTAACAAATCGTGTGTGTGCAGAGAGCGAGGGGAGAAAGGGGGAAGGGCAGGCTGTACTTGTCATGTAAAGAACGTGGAAGGAGGACTGGTTAGCAGTGATCGTGCCTCAAACAAGTTAAACTTTCACTGTTGTCCATGGTCAAGAGACTACACAATTATTATCATCTGAAACATAAAGAAACATCTCAGAAATTCAGTAGTTACTCTTTTGTAACTGAGTTAGGTACAAGGACAGTGTGAAGATGAAGCTGTAAGAGGCAGGGGTTGAAAAACTCCTAAACTATTTGCTGAAAAAAGGGATGGGGGGGGGCAGGAAAAGAGAAAAATTCCACTGACAAAAATTTAAGTCCATAATACTGAGTTATTAAACAGAAGTAACTGCAAAAGTATCTCCCCAAGTGAAACTACATGGAAAGTACCTGCAAAACCTGACAAGTCAGTAGAAAGTGATGAACGACTCGCGCTTTCAGTAACTGCTTAATGTTGAACATCTGCTGGAGATGGTCTGCTCGGATGAGCACTTCCAGAGCCGCTAGCAGAGTTTCCCAAACACCTGGCTGTATAAATAAACACACACACCAGTTAGCCCAGGGCTGCTGAAGAACATGCTGTGCACTTTCTTGAAGGCAGGCATATGTCAGTTCCCCACTGTGTAAGAATCCAGGTCAAAGATTAAACCTGTCCGAAAGTCCATCTTCATTCCCAGGCTATTTTGCTGTCGATGTATCAGTCCTACACACTTACACTGGATGCAATATGGCATTAGGTGCTTTAGAGCAGTAACCTTCCTGTGGCATTAAAGGATGGATAGATTTTTAAAAAGTGAACTATCTTGAAACTTACTCAATATAGAGAAACACCTTTCAATGTAATTGACAATTTATTTCAAAAAGCATTATTAAAAATGTATAAACTTCAATGCTAATTTGTGTATACAGCATTTAATCAAATACTTTTAGAACAAATTGTACTAAATTGAAAAAAGTCACTGACAATGAAAATTCTGCATTTTTGGATTAATTTACTTCTAAGCCCAAATAATAGAATTCTCTGCACAATTATACACTGTGCCTCTTCAAACAGTAGTTCATCCTTTTAAGGTGCCTTAAAATTCTCCTCTCAAAGTATCCAGTATTGAAGCAGTAATTTGTTCTGGTCTCCAGGAGAATGATTAGATGAATATTTAAAAGTACACAGCTCTCTGTGCAGCAAAGGAAACAATCAACAGAGTGAAAAGGCAACCTAGGGTCCTGGCGGGAGTGGCTCAGTGCTTAGAGCAATGGCCCTCACACCAAAGGGTCTCGGGTTCAATTCCTGTACCTGGGTTGCAGGTTCCATCCCCTGCCCCGGTCAGGGCATGTGCGGGAGGCAACCAATCAATGTGTCACATGCGTGTTCTTGTTTCTCTCTCTCTCTGTCTTTCTGTCTCTCTCTTTCTCTCCGCCCCTCCTTCTCTCCCTCCCTTCTGCTCTCTGGATGGGTAAGGATTAACAAAACAAAACAAAAAGGAAACTGAGCAAAACAAAAAAACCGGCAACCTAGGAACGGGAGAAAATATTTCAAAACCATATACCAGATAAGGGATTAATATCCAGAATATATAAAGAACTCCCCAAATCCAATAACCAAAAAAATCAAATAATCCAATTAAAAAAATGAGCAAAGGACTTGAGTGGACATCTTTACAAAAAAATACATACAAATGGCCAACAGGTACATGAAAAGATGCTCATCATTACTAATTATCAGGGAATGAAAATCGAAACCAAAATAAGATGTCACCTCACACCCAAAAAAACGGCTACTATCAAAAACAAAAACAGAAAATCACAATTGTTGGCAGGATGGAGAGAAAGTGGAACCCTTGCACATTGTTGGTGGGATGGTAAAATAATGCAGCTCTTACAAAAAATAGTACGAAGATGCCTCACAAAATTAAAATAGACCACTATATGATTCAGCAATCCCACTTCTGGGTTTACATATTCAAAAGAACAAAACAGAATCCTGAAGAGACATTTGCACACCCATGTACACTGCAGCATTATGCACAACAGTCAAGATGTGGAAGCAGCCCAAATGTTCCTGACAGGTGAATGGATAAAAAAAACGTGGTGTATACACACAATGGAACACTTTCCATTCTTACAGAGGGAAGAAATCTTGTCATATGCTACAACATAGATGAACCTTGAGGACATAATGCTAAGTGAGACAAGCCAGTCACAAAATGAAGCATCTAAAGTAATGAAACTCATAGAAACAGAAAGTAGAATGGTAGTTGCCAGGGACTAGAGGAAAGGAGAAATGGGGAGTTAGTGTTCAATGGGCACAGGTTCATCAAGCAACATGAGAAGATTCTAAAGACATGCTGTGGGACAAAGTGTATGCAGTCAACACTGTACAGTATGCTTAAAAATTAAGAGGATAGATTTATGTCATAAAAAATAAGTACATGCCTCTGCTTTGTTCCATATCTTCCAGTCAAGCAATAGCTCCTCGAGCAGTTTAACATCTTGGATTATGGCTTTAGACTCCACATCTACCTTAAACTCTCCATTCTCGTTGTTCTGAAGGATATCTTCACCACAGCAACCTTCGAGAAGGGTCTATGGAAAATCAGCATCAACACAAGATGCGTTAATAATCGATTCATTCTCAAATTCAACAGAAACATGAATCTTCCAATCTCAGCCATTGTAACACTGAACTCAAAGGAGAGCTGGCGAATCAGTTGACCTCACAGAGTACCTTTAATTTCCTTTGCAAAACGATTCTAATAATTAGAAAAACACAAACTTCTAAATATTTGTACATGATTACTCAGTTTCAAATCTGGGTAAAGTAAACCACATTCCGTTTTTATTTTTAAAATTAAAATCTGTTAGGCTACAAACCTTTCCCCAAAAGGTCAGGATTCATGCCACGAGTGTTCAGACCTCAACAGTTCCCAGGGTTTGGGAGCTGGGGCACAGGGAGGGCCAGGGGCTTGTTTTAGTGCTAGGCCCTCGGAAAGAAATGCTTTCACAAGGTTGCTAACTGCTTTTAGCTAGAAAGGTATTTAAATATGTGATGACAGCTGGATCGTAGTAAGAGCCAATATGGCTTTAGAATAAGCCCTACAGCAGTGTGACCTCACGGAAATGCTTAGCATGAGGCATCTGAAGAACTGTGGAAGCCGAAGCAACAGTGTCTCTGAGGGTCTCAGAGGATGAGGTGCCAGCCTAGGAGACATCTCTGGGCTCATCCAGGCCTAAAATTCTACTAGTTTTTCTCTCTTACTCTTCTAAAATGTTTTAAATAAAATAAAAATGTAATTATTTAAATGATGGGAAAAACCAGAAGAGTACTGTAGCTTCATTAAATTTACACTGTTGTGACTCCTTCACTTAATGGAGAAAGCAGCACACTGCACGTGAAGCCATGAGAATAAACTTCATGAGGACGTACCTTCAACATATGAAAGCCAACAGCGCATTTCTGCTTGATCAACACCTGATGAATCATGGAAAGCCCATCACAATTTCCTAACTCATGTATTCTCTGCTGGTTGTATTTAATTAATGACAGTATAACTCTCAGTGCTAATGCTTGAGTTTCTTCACAATCACTGAGTTCCACAACCTAAAAAAAAAAGGGGGGTATGTTTTCTTGATTTGTTGAGAGTAAAAATGTAACGTGTGATTATCTACCATTAGGTAATCAATCCACCAGTTTCATTTGAAAGTTTATTTTTTATTGCTCGTACCCTGTAATTATTTAAGAATTATAAATAAAAAAAACTGAAAGACAACCCCCACGCTCTTCAGTCTCTAAAATAATAAATGAACTAAAATAAAATCAACAACCTTAAAAGTCAGTAGCATTTTATTACTGATATAAAATGTCAGCAAAATGCCTCAGATTTTTGCTGATGAGCCAGTCAACAAACAGGCTCTGGCTGGTGCTGTGTGATAAAGAGGAGTAAAGGCATGACACCTGCCTCCGTGGGCACACTGTTCAGTCTAAAGAGACGTATGTACAGAGGCCATGGATTGTGCCTTGTCTGTCAATTCAGCCGACACTTTCTCACAATTACTCCATGTGAGAAACATACACCATCAGGATAAAAAGCAAAGGAGAATGAGACGCTATAAATTCCTCCAGGGCACACAAGGACGCTTACAGAAGAGAAGATGGCCTGGAAAGAGCAAAGTCCTGGAAAGCAGGGATAGGTCGGTGGCTGCAGGTGGGAGACAGTCGGGAGAAGGAAGGTAAAAGTCTAAACTGGAAGTTTTCAGCTCATCTAGGACGCAGCAGGTTGCCGATTTTGCTGAATGGTGGAGATTAGGCTTAAAAGCTGGTCTATGCAGTAAGGATTTTAAGGAGGCTGACTTTCATTTTTGTAGGGGAGGAGGAAAGATACAGAACAGTGTTTCTAAGCTTTAAATGTGAAAACATACTTTAAAGTCTTAAATATATGTGAGATAAAAAATTAACCATTTTCTCTAAGGATCTAGTCACTGAGTAGCAGTGACCGTAACAAAATTACATTCAATAACTTGACAAAAGAGGAAGAACTAAGAGTACACATTTTGAAATTGTACAAGCTATAAAAGAAGATCACAAAATGATCTGGAGCTAAATGAAGAGCTTTTACTTTTAAAACACTAGGGGAATCTTCAACTAGATATTCAAAGCAAAAAAAAAAAAAAAAAGGTTTGAAAAAGGCAGAGGAGGGAAAGAAAAGACAGCTTAGGGTATGGTGAGCCAAATACTAGCAGAATATTTATAAGAACAGTAATAACAACAACACTGATATGTCCCTTACTGCAAAATTATCAAAAGTGGTTCCATTAAAGAAAGGAAGCCAGGTAGGGAGACTGTGAAAATGTGATAATGTGCGGAAGTTATACTTAGGGATATGATTCTGAAAATGAAGGTGCTCAGGGCCGCTTTCATTAACAAGGATACGAGTCCCAGGAAGTAGATGGTTCACAGCAAAGTGACAGCGTCTGCATCCCCTACTCTGGATCTCAACCACCCCTGAAACAGTCCATGCACTGACTGCCTCACCATGTCAGGAAAGGTGCTCGCCTGCCCCCAAATAATGGAATGAAACAGAAAATTAAACAATTTAGGTTAATATAATTGTACTCATAGCAGGAGTTAAACTTCTTATATTTCTCCTCTTTAAAAAAACATTTCAAACCCAAATAAATTAAATTGTTTTTATACTTATTTGTTGACCCTTGTTTTTCCCTGTACAGCTGGAAACTTCAAGGAGAAAACATTTCATAAACCTTAAAGCACACGCTATACTGTCACTGCAGCATGCATTCTTTTCTTACAGGCAATTTCAGTCTTATAATTTAACATTTAAGGGTTCTAATTACATTTTGAGATAAAAGAAAACTCCTAAAATCTTCATGAATTAAAAGAAACTTTAAACATCTGTGGCAGAACGCTTGATGACACTTTAAATATGTGATTTTTTTAAAAATATGTTTTTATTGATTTTAGAGAGGGAGGAAGGGGGAGAGGGGGGAGAGAAAAAACATCAATGTGAGAGAGAAACTTCAATCAGTTGCCCCCTGTACACACCCCAATCAGGGATCAAACCCACAACCTGGGTATATGCCCTGACCGGGAATCGAACTGGTGACCTTCTGGTGCATGGGACAACGCTCAATCAACTGAGCCACACTGGCCAAGGCATGCGATTTTTTTATCTTAAAAATTGATGTATAGCTTTTTTGTAATAAAAAAGAAACACTAAAATTTATCAATAATAAAAAGTTTTTCTTTAGATAAAATTAAAAGCAATGGCTCTTACCCTAGCAAAGAGAAAAACGAATATCCCAGTTCCCCCGATCTCGTGCAGAATGCCTTGGATAGTTTTACATTCAGTAGGCTGGAGATTCTTTAGATGATGAAATTCCAATGAGATGCTCTGCACATCTTTTGAGCTGAAGGGTCTCTGAGAGAGCTGGGCCTTCACTTGACCTTTAAGTCTAATAACCGGCTCATAGATGGTGTACTGAGCAGGACAGCACGTTGTATAAACAACAGAAAGGCTTTCCTGAAACACAAATATTTCCCCTCAGTAATGAGATAAAGTTCAAAAAGTTATCGACTACAAGCAAATACTCCAAAGTAAAAAGACACCTAAATCTTTTTCTTCATTTTAAAAGAGACGGATGCTACACTACACAAAGGTGGACACGAGCCGTAAGGTGACTCCCCAGAGGAACAGATGTGCATCTAGCAGTGATCAACAGTATAAACCACAGTGAAGCTGAGAGGTTCCAGCTTTGATTGTTTTAAATAAACATAAGTTATACTTACTAGTACCATTAACAACAGCTAACTCTTATACCACACCCATTACATGCCAGGCACTGTTCTAGGAACATAAATATTAACTGGTCTTTACAACCCTATGAGATGGGACCAATGTACTCAATATTTTCCTTTCAATTTGCTCATGGGCTTGAATTTAAAAGTGACTCTACACACATGCAATATACAGGTGATATATTATAGAATTATACTTGAAATGTATATAATTTTATTAACCAATGTCACCCCAATAAATTTAATAAAATTAAACAAAATAAAAGCCACTCTAAGATCAGATATTGCTTTGTATTAGAATAAAATCCCAGACTATCAGTCCACCTAACTAAAACTGAATAGAACTTTCAATATTTCTCCCCTGCAGAGAGTAGTTTCTATCAGCTTCTGGCTCCCTGTCAAGCTTCTATTAACTAGTCAACCCCTCCACTCACTGATATACCCCAGGACCCCCTGCGGGAGCCTGAATCCACACACAGTACCGAACCCTATATACACTGTGTTTTTCCTATACATACATTCCTATGATAAAGTTTAATTTATAAATGAGGCACAGTAAGAGGCTAACAATAACTAATAATAAAATAGAACACTCATAACAATACACCGCAGTGAAAGTTATGTAAATGGTTTGGGGCCATCATTATGTAAAATAAGGGTGCCGTGAACACAGCACTGCAACACTGCCACAGTCCAGTCGACAGTCGACATGATCACCCCGGTGACTAACTGCAGGGAACATCTATAGCGGAGGCGCTGGGCAGAGGGATGATTCACCCCCCGGACAGCACAGAGCCGGACTGTGAGAGATTTCATCATGCTACTCAGCATGGGGCGCAATTTAAAACTTATGAATTGTTTAGTTTGGGAATTTTCCATTTAATATTTTTGGACAGGGGCTGACTGTAGGTAACTAAAACTGAGAAAGTGAAACTGTGGATGGGGGAAGGGGGCGACTACTTTAAAAATTCTGGTAAATTTAAAATGCAGAATGCACCAGGAGGAGCCCAGGCTTAGGAAAACCATGAACTACCCACCAGTGTCTTCTCGCAGAGGCCTTGGGGCCTTGGGCCTTGGTCGTTTTCAACCTTGGCGAGGTAAGGGCAGTTTGATCACACACCATCTAGCATATCTGCATATACCAGCTAAACGGTCTATGACGTCTCCTGTAGATCATTATGCTGGGAAAGCAAACTTCACACCTGTGTGGTTTTTGTCAGAAACCTGACCGGATGCCAGCATGCCTGAACAAGTCCCACCTGACCCCACCTTGCCAGGAGGCACCATCGCAGCCTGACTGCTCACTCAGGACCTCAGGACCCCAGGACCCCAAACTACTGAATCAGGCCTAAAATATTTGCTTCCTAAAAAATTTTCACATAAAACCCATAGAATTTTAATTTGTGATAATTTATGTTGAATTTTACAACTTACATATTGTATCTTCTTTTGAGGCAAAATAAAAGGATTAAGGAAAAGTTTTTTTGCTGTGTGAAAACAAATGGATTAACTAAAAACGAGAGTTGTTGTTCCCACTTGAACAAGGCTTTTATGAGCTCCTTAGTCTCATGTGTGGTCCCAAACCAGCTGCATTGGCACCACCTGGAAATTCGTTAAAAATGCAAATTCTTGGCCACACTTCAGTCATCCTGACTCTGAAACTGGCCCAGCAACCCATGTTCTAACAAGGTCTCTGTGCAACTCTGAGGCTCGCTCAGGTTGAGGCCTGATTCCCTGAGGCTTGTTTTCTGAGTGTGGGGCAGTTCTTTGTTGTATGACGCTGCCAGCGCCTGACCTCAGACCTTCAGTTTCCATCCGCATCCACATCTGTTTACACAGATACATATTTAACACTGCCCAAGACTTACACATGTTTTACAAAATATCTGTACTAGGAATTTCTTCTTTACTTTGATCAAATATTACAGCTTTAATATATAATTTATTTTGATTGTGAAATATACACCTCATTAACAGCAAAATACATTCCAAAACAGTAGCCTCCTTCAGTAAATCTCTCTGCCCTATAAGTGCACCTCTCATCAGAAGCAAGTCAAAGAGAAACACAGTTTGAGATGGCCACGTCTACCAGTTTGTAGTAGATCTTCTAAGACTATGAAGGCTCAGTTTTCTAGCTGCTATAATGAAAAAATCCTTCACAAGCTCCTAAAGTGTATGCTAGAATAAAATATTAGAATAATATATAAAAAGCAATCTGAAAGACCCCTATAAGCAGAGTTAGCAATATTTTGAAAGCAAAATTCCTAGTTGTTACTTATATTAAAAAATAAATGGGCAAAGGACCTGAATGGACATGAAAAAAATGCTCAATGTCACGAATTATCAGAGAGATGCAAATTAAAATTACAATGAAGTATTACCTCACACCTGCCACAATAAATTAACAAACAACAAGTGCTGGCGAGGATGTGGAGAAAAGGGAACACAAGTACACTGCTGGTGGGAATGCAGACTGGTGCAGCCACTATGGAAAACAGTATGAAGCTTCCTCAAAAAATTTAGACCCAGAGATCCCACTTCTGGGAATATATCCTAAGAATTCTGAAACACCAATAAGAAATAATATATGTACCCCTATGTTCATAGCAGCGCAATTTACAATAGCCAAGATTTGGAAAATCTGGAAACAGCCCAAGTGCCCATCAGTAGATGAGTGGATAAAAAAGCTGTGGGACATTTACACCATGGAATACTATGCAGCTATAAAAAAGAAACTCTTACTCTTTGCAACGGCATGGATGAACCTGGAGAGTATTATGCTAAATGGAATAAGCCAGTCAGAGAAAGACAAGTATCACATGATCTCACTTATATGTGGAATCTAATAAACAAAATAAACTGAGGAACAAAATAGGACCAGAAGCATAGATACATGGAACAGACTGACAGATTTCAGAGGGCAAGGGGGTGGGGGAGGACTGAAGAGATGAGCCAAAGAACACATATGCATATATGCATAGCCCATGGACACAGACAATCATGTGGTGAAGACTGGGTGGGGGAGCTGGGTGGAAGGGTCAAAGGGGGAAAAATGGGGGACATCTGTAATAGTATCAACAATAAAAGAGAGTGAAAGAGAGAGAGAGGAGAAGGAAGCCATATGAATAGTGAGAGTAAGAATATCCCAGAATGTCCGTCATCTAAAGAATGGATAAAGAAAACATGGTACATCCATACAATGGAATATCATTCAACCATAAAGAATAAAGTACTGATTCCTGTACAACATGGATGAGCACTGAAAACATGCTGAATGAAAGAAGCCAGTCAACAAAGACCACATATTATATGATTCCATTTATATGAAATGTCCAGAATAGGCAAATCCAGAGAGATAGAAAGATCAGTGGTTGCCAGGGGCTAGAAGGAGGCAAAAACGGGGGAGACTGCTAATGGTTATAGGGTTTCTCTTCAAGCTCTTCATGCACTGGAGTTAGAGACTAGTGATGGTTGCACAATCTTATAATTACACCAAAGCCCACAAAATGTACACTTTAAAAGGGTGAATTTTAGTCATGTGAATTATATATTAATTAAAAGACACTCAAAGGGCTCCCCAAATTGGAAAAAAAAGAATATTCTAAAATCTGAATATATGTAATTAAATCAATATAAAACCTAGCATTTATTATTAATATGGAAAGGAGCTATAATAAGCAATATTTTTAGGCTAACATGTTATATTTTCACTATATCATACACATTTTTTTGAATGATACATATAAACTGAACAAAATTTAGTAAACACAGTTCCAAGGAAAAAGGGATGAAAATTTGAAACCTGAAAACAAATTCTGAAGTCAAAGTATTTTAATTTTTTTCAGGAAAAAAACACCACATTCTGAAGAAAGAAAATGTTGAGAAACAAAAAGGAGAAACATTAGAAATCTTATTCACAGCTAGTTACACATTCAAGAAACAAACACATGTATAGTTACTATAAAGTTAAACATAAAATGAAAACTTACAATTAAGAGACCAATGTCCACATCTTTCTTGGTCATAAAAAGTTCTCTGATTTGTTCACACTGCAAAATGTCTTTATTAATATATTTGGAGTAGTCATTCACAGGCTGGCCGTATTTACACGGCATTATAGATGTATGGTTGGGTCCACACGCATATAGATAAAAGGCCTCTTGTGAACCAATCTTAGCTCCTGAATAGCGAAAAAACAAAGGTACCTATTTAAAACATTCTGACCAGAATTTTCCACAAAAAACAAGAAACCAAGAATTTTTTATGCCAGATTCTTTTAGTTGTTCACTATATTTTATAAAATTGATTAAAGCCTCAATTTCCAAATGGATGAATGATGAATTAATATATAGAAAGTTAGCTCTTGATAAAATAACATCATAAAGTTTCTATTTGCTCCTTAAACTAGAAAACAGGGCCGGGAGGTTGTTTTGTTTTGTTTTGTTTTTCAGTAAATGAAAAGTATAGCTCAGGAAATTCCTCTTTAAAATGAAAGGGGAATCGGTATCTTCATTCCTTCCATCCGTCTACTCAATAAACACTGTCTGGATGCTACTATGTGTCAGGTTTAGTGATGTATTTTTTTAAATCATATATTTTATTTTTCTCTAAATTTTGGATTTTTATAGACTATACTAAAATTATAAAAGAGACAACCATTCTAAGTTTACCTGTCAAAATACTGCATTTTCCAGGATTACAAAATAAAGTTGACATAACATAAGCTTCTTTTGGGGGGTAGTGACTAGGAAGTACACCACTGCATTACATGTATATTTCAATTATAAGAAACATCTAGATTATAGAAATGTTAAAATATTTTAAAAGTCATCTTGAAATCTAGGCAATACAGTGCTTATTAAGTACAAGTAAAGAAACAGGGATTACTGTTTCACCCAGGATAATTTACTTAGTTTAATACTTGTTAACTGAAAGAATTAGGAAATGCTTTGAAGGGGAAAAGTATACCATTGAAGAGCAGTAAATTTCCCAGGTCCCATTTTCCAGCCAACTGCAAAAACTCTTCTTGGGATGATAAACAATGGCCGATCATGCAAAATGTTTTATTGCTATCAGATGACAAACTTGTTTTTCTTGGAATCATAAAATCCAAAGTAACATCAGGTTTCCTACATTAAAACAAAGTTAAATCAATTACTTCAGTGAGGACTAAGTACTAAGTATTTTTAAAGTAAGAGTGCTTAGTAATGGGAAATTCTTGACCAATTTTCTTGGTTCAGTATCAAACAGTTGGTAAAGTGGAGAAAGAGAACTGATTCTGTTGTCTTGGTCAAAGGTACTGGCTGTCCACATGCCCCAGAAACGGGAGCAGAACGGAGGTGCCTGGGGATCCTGCACCAGGCCACAGGGAGTGATGAAGTGACCTAACATATGCAAGTTTTCTGTGTCATGTGACTTCTGCATATGCACCTTCCTGGTTTACAACCCAACCACCTTCCCCGAATTTTACCAAGATGTCTTGGTAAACAATTCCTAAAATCTCAGGTCCTCTATGAGGCCTTCAAAGACTATTCAGAGAGAAAAAATCACTTCTTCAGGTTTTGCTCTGACCAGCCATGGAAATGCCAGTGCTGTTTTGCATTTTCTGTTTATTTCAATGCTAAGTCATTATGGAGCTTTTGACTGTCTCTTGTTTTCACAGGAACCCTTATAGGAAAAGGTAAACTAAGGCTTTCTCATGGGTTGAGACCCATGATGGGAGGGCTTCCTCATCTAGTCGAGACTGCAGATCATCAGGCTCTACCCCTATTTTAGGAACGTTTTAAACTCCCTATGAAGATAATGAAGGTAAGTGTGTGACTAAGATAAAGACTTAGAATAAACTAATCTGGTTGGCTCTTAAAGAGGAATTCCACTTTGGTATATATTTATTTAAAAACTTTCCCTAAGGCTTTGTGTTTCATATTTAACATAAATTTAACTATTTATAGAAATACTTTTTAATAAAGGAAATATGTGAGATAACTTCTTTTTTTAATTGATGTTTAAATGACAACATGAAAGAGAACTTGCATTACATGCCTCTCTTTCTTGCTCACCAAATAAATGGCCATGACTGAGACACTACTGACCCCTAGTGGCAGTATGATAATACAGTTTTTAAGGGTGACGAGACATTGCATGATCAGTGCAAGATGAATTCAACAAACACTAAGTCTCTACTATACCATATATTCCTATGAGATTTGTGTGCTTTTCATTAAACAAATTAATATAAAATATTAGTAAGTTGTTTTTCAGTGTCATTATATACTATTAAAATGGCCTCTTAAAATGTATTATTTGTAGAAATTATTCTAATGTTTCTGAAAGTGATAAAGGTAGTGTCAAATTTTTATCAACAGAACAATGTATTTGTCCTTGGTCACTTGCTCATTGCTCTATTAACAGATGAAGTCATTAACTTGTATCAAATGGCAAAAAAGCCCCTTCGAGGCAATGTAGACACAAGTGGGCGGGTGAAAAATGGTGGGTGGGAATCAAGAGACTGCTCACTAACCTCAGAAATGTCCATAGTGAGCACTGAACTCTCTCTGAACATGCCCACTGACTAGCTCATGAGTCCTATACCTGTCAGCAGGCCTGCTTCCGAAAGGCTGTAGGGTCAGTGAAAGCTAGGGTTTAAACGAGTGGGCTCGCTCTGGGGTCAGGGTCGAGGTTCAACTTTCAGCTGCACCCTTACTGGTTCCATGACCTTGGGTCAGTGACTTTCTCCACTCCGGGCCTCAGGTGCCTCACGTGTAAAACAGGACAATGCATCTGCTCGCAGTGCTGATGGGAGGGTGTAGGGCACATGCTGAGAGTTCAGGAAATGAGGAGAGAGGCCAGGGGAGAGGCCCTCTACCCACAGCCACATCACCAGCTCTAACCTGTCAAACCAACTTAAGTTTCTGAAAACAAATTTAGTATTGGCTGCAGCTGCCATTCAGGCTTAGGCAATTGTGAAGACTGAGAATGTCTCAGAAAATAATTTATTTAGAATACAGAAATTAAGTTTCAATGGTGTGTTTTCATGTATTTTAATGAATAAACAAAACGAAGCCCTTGATTTTATTTCCAAAATGAAGCCCTTGGTTTTGTTCCTTCCTGTGGCTGACACCTGGACTAGCTACCCTACAGCCATCACAGCCGTCTGCCCCTCCTCCCTCTAGTGCTGCAGCCACTCCTTTAGTCTCCAAAGGCCTTTCCTCCACCTGGATGCTCGGCCTCCCTCTTGCTCATGACACCTCCAGCTCCTCCTCCAGCATCAGCCTGAATAATCTGTTCCTGGAGAGGCCTTCCCTGACCCACCTCTCTGAAGCAGCAGACCTGATATTTTCTGTCTCGGATCCTGTTTGTTACCTTCATGGTATTTGTCACAATTTGTATGTTTTCATTTAACTGTTCACTTATTGTCTGCTTCCTCACTAGACTGTGAGGTCCAGAAGGCACTGCACATGGCTGCCCTGTTTACCACTGCACCCAGGCTAACAGCATGTGTTCAGTACACACATAGAAACATGTGCTGGAGCCCAGCCAGGCGTGGCTCAGCGGTTGAGCATCAACCTGTGATCCAGAAGATTGCAGTTCAACTCCTGGTAAGGGCACATGCCTGGGTTTTGGGTTTGATCCCTAGTAGGGGGCGTGCAGGAGGCAGCCGATCAAGCAATGACTCTCTCATCATTGATGTTTCTCTCTCTCTCCCTCTCTTTTCCTCTCTCTGAAATCAATAAAGACATTAAAAAAAAAATGTGCTGGATGAACATATGAATGAATAAAAAGAGGCTAATTTGTGCAAAGGATATATTCTATATTTCTGTGGTCTAATCTACTTGCAAGGGGTTTTTGACAGAACTGGAAGATAATGTATATAAAGTACTTAGCAAAAGATCTGCAACACAACTGGTACGCAATGCTTTATGGTCCATTCGATTAAGTCCAGACTCCCCATCGTAGCATTCAGACAGCTTGGCCATGCCCACTTATTTTTCCTTATTATTCAACTCAGACTCTCCCTTCCAAGCCAGTTCGACCCTTTCCCAGGCCACACTAGTTTCCAATTTGTATCCCCTTTCATGGAATTTCATTCAATAAAGTACTTCCCAACTCTTACAAATCCAAGATACCTTGTAGCTTTCTCAGGGTTACACCTTACATTAAGATATTCCAGAAAATGTTTCTTATTAACTTGACCCATAATTCTCCTGGTCAGTAAACATCCTGTAGTACTCCCTACACCTGAATCTGTCACCTGGTATGTTTCTAGGGCACTATCCTATCATTTGATATATCAGCTTCTCTTTTTCTTTAGTCATCCTAATTTCTTTTGAATCCCTGATTTTAATTTCGGTATTAGCCTTATTAGTCACTTAATTTAAATAACCTTTCTGGATTAATTTTATAATATATGTGCTTGAAGAACCAAACTATAGTTCTTTGATCTAACATATATTCCACATAAATATCTAAATGTCCAGATTTCTGTGTTGCTCCCTCAAACCCACATATTAATTTTCAACAATTACTTCTATGGGAAATTACTTTTGTATGGAAGTGATAAATAGGGAAATACTGAACTCTGACCTATGTTCCTATATTAATATATAGTAAATTTTATCTGTAGTTTTCTGCAATCTGTTTTAGAAGCTGTAGCAGACTAACCTTAAAATTGTGAGTTCAATAAGTATTTACAAAAAATGTTTCATACCTCTGTCCAGAGACCCATATGGAGATTTCCCCATGCATATTCTTTTTCCCCTGGGGCTGCTGTAGGTAGGTGAGTACTAAATGTTGCCATTTGCTTGGGAGGAAAACATTCTCCAATGATTCCGCCTGAGCTAGTAAAACAGCTTTTGCATCATCATTTGAATCCACGCACACACTACAGAGGAGAGAAAGGTACAGGCTGAACACATGGAATTTCAGATCTCAATATTAACGCAAGTATAACAACAGTAACTGTGGATATTTAAGGGAGATTTAAAACCAGTTCTATTTCTAAACTAACTTGAAAAGTCCATAGGTCCTTGTTTTACACCATAATCTGTTTAGTTATTTTATTATATCATTACCTCAATCATGAAACACAGTAGATTAGGTTCATTTGCTAGTGTTAATAACTTAGGCAATAATTTTCAGAATTCAATTTGCAAAAAAAATTTATCATTGCTATTGCCCTTTTAGAAATTACAATGCAATATTTGGTTCACACAAAAATTAATACGTGTTGTACATAAATGTCCAAATGCCATGATGCGTTGGAGGTCTAACCTACTTTGAAGAATTGCTGAATTAGGATATAATATATACACAGTACCTAGTAACCTTTATAACCTTTANTGATGCGTTGGAGGTCTAACCTACTTTGAAGAATTGCTGAGAGAATTAGGATATAATATATACACAGTACCTAGTAACCTTTATAACCTTTACAAAGCATATATCCCTAAATAGCATTGTTTACTTAGTTTTAAGTTTTATAAAAAATAGTTTCATACTATTCTTACTCAATACAAATAAAAGACTTGTATCTATACTAGTTAACAAAGGAGGTAGGAAAAAGGGACAAGATAGCAAGATCTTAAGCTTATTAGATAATGGCTATTAAATATATAATCTGCATGGAAAATGGCTATCTGATTTAACACCTTAAGATCATTGCAACCTGACAGAATACTTCCAAAGATAGGACCTAAGTATGGATCTGATTTAAAATCTGAGAATATAATTTTCTTTAGAGTTTAATTATAGATTTTTAGGTAGAATATATTGTTAAAAAGGTGGTATTTAAATCTCTTTAAAAAACTGCTGTAACGCTCATTATTAGTATATTTCATACTTCTGTCTCTTACATAAACTACTTAAATACATGATCTACCCATGGGGTTGGGGGTAATCCATACCGGAAGATGAACGTGCCAGTGTGGGGATCTGCCCACACTTGGATCATCAACGCTTTGGATCCCAATGAAATCATGTGAATACAGCCTCCTTCTATGAGTCTTTCACCAGGATTCATGTACTCTGCACCTTCTGGCCTGTCGCTCTCTATGATAAAAAGATGTTAGAATGATCAGTAAAGCAGTGGATAAAAACTGAGTAGAAAGTGAATTTAAAAGAATACAAAGCATGATTGTTTATTTGTAGTAAATTATTTACCCAGAATGTCTCAACATGCCTGTTCCAAACAACAGAATTTCCAAAGTTTAGGTGTTAATTAACTACAAAAAAGCACCAGTAGTAAAAACAGTAACTGAGTGCATTAAAAGTTATGAAATGCTTTTCCAGTTATCCTACATCTTAAAATATTTAATAACTTTTAATGCTAAGTGAAATAAGCCAGTCAGAGAAAGACATATACCATATGGAATCTAATGAAAATAAACTGACGAACAAAACAGAAACAGAGACATGAATACATTAGACTGACAGCTGTCAAAGGGGAGGGGGGAAAGGGGACTAGGTGAAAGAGGGTGAAGGGAACAGCCAAAGAACATATGTGCATAGCCCATGGACACAGACAGCAGTGTGGTGATGTCAGAGGGAAAGAGGGGCAGAGGCTGGGTGAAGGCGGGCAGAGGGGAGTAAAATGGGGACATCTGTAATGGTGTCAACAATAAAAAAATAAAATATATGATAACTGAGGACTAATTGCAGGAGTGATTTAGCCACCTGTGACGACACCACAGTAAACTATTACAATCTGTGCCACGATGCTTTTACAGATTGGATGGGCCACTCTGACACCAAGGACCTCAGCCCAGGAAACACACACCACCATCATAGGCCCTGTACAACCCAAACCACCCTATAATTATTATGACAGCATGATTTTAAAAAGTTAATCATATTAAAATTCCTTTTAGGAAAAGTGTTTGAATATATTCCCAGATGAGTGATCTTCTAAAGGGATTGCTAAGTGTTCCTAAAACTCCAAGCAGTGTCTCTAAGACTAGCTAAGGTAAAATGCTCTGTGCTTTGGGCTGTCTGGTTTTTCATCCTGACTTAACTTTCTTACCACTTAAAACCCAGCACTGCCTGAACAGGTGTGATGAGCTGAACCCTCAAGCCATCCATCTACAGGACCATGATGCATGCTTTCTGGAAAGCTATGTTAATCAAGATGTACTGAAACACAAATGCCCATCCAGAGGCTAAGGCTTTTAGAGAAGATGAACACCACCACTTATTAAGCTGCATACATATTTGTTGTTATTTTTCAACGGGTGTAACCACCACCATTTTTTAAGAATACTCCCCCTAGCAATGATAATGGTTTTTTAAAAGAGTTAAATTCATTGATTATTTTGAAGACTGTTGTCCAAGACATAAGATGTACAGAGAACTCACAACCAATGTGATATTAAAAAATTGCCATATCAAATCTGAACTTGTACAAATTAAAGACTAGTACAAAAACCAGTGTGTACTCAGAAACTGTGAAGCAGGAACATTACAGGTATTTCCTAATTTAATGTTCACAACAATCTTAATAGGCAAATATCATCCCCATTTTGAGGGTGACAGATCTGACGTGCTCAGCTGGTTTAGCGGCAAAGGAGGTGTTATTAGTGTAATATTTTGTTCCATCTTGAAAATTTTAATATGTTACTGTTTTAAAATGCTTATGGAAAACCCTCTTTCTAAAATGTGTTCTAATACATTTTTTTAGTAGCCACTGTCTTTTATTCATTATCACCACTTCCCTGGTCTCCACACTTCCATTATTCTAAAAAAATTTTAAATTTTCCCAGTACCTGCTTTTCTCAGATCACTGTGCATATTTATTCACTTTAGAAGAGATTGTTTACACTGTGACTGCCCCCACTTAAACTATGAGAAAGCAATCTACACTGTTTACAATGTCGTAGTGACAGGTGGTTGTAGCTCCCTCCCCTCACCAGCTAGAGAAATGGGACCTGCTGCTGAACTTCATCTGCAATATAGGCAGTCTGAGAGCTCACCTCACTGGATTGTTGTGAACATGAAATGTGCATAGAAGGAACTGAGCAAAGTGACACGGACATTCAATGTACAACAGGTAGTGTTACCATCAATCACATCACACAGACATTGTTTCAAAACCATAATTCTTAGGTGGCAACATTCAATTCACAAAAACAATGCTCTAACTACTTGAAACATTACATATTATCTGCAAAGATTTTTCAATTTAAATTGGCTTTCTAGGCTAACCCATAAAAGTACATAAATATGCTATCTAATAGCATGGACATGTGTCTGGACTTGGAGCTCCAACTGTGACTATCAGGTGACATCACCCACCCTTCAGTCCTGACAGTGTCATTAAAGACCTTCCTTCCATCTCTAGGTCAGTGGTAGAGGACCTCCCTAGAAACCAGACAGCAGGGAAGGCCCAGTGTCCCAACCCAGAGGCTGCAGTGGGGCGTGGGTGCTCCTCCATACATGCATAACCCCTAAACACCTGTCTTACCTGTCACCTCATCTTTTCCATGGACCCTAAGAATCAGCCTGCCTGCTTTACTTCCACCACCACCAGCTGCTTCTTAACAAACAGGTTCTTGCTGCCCAAGTCACACAAGGACCAAGGTGCCATCTGCAACCAGCACAACAGCAATCTGACTCGTTATAAAAAGGACTGGAATCAAACCTATTCCACCTCTGGAGAATGGCTGGTGCACTCAAATACTCTGTGACAAGAGCTCGGAGAGGGGCACTGATGGAAGACAGAGCTTGAGAAGCAGAGCTTGAACTAAAAGAGACAGGAGAGGAGATGAGGGATGACCAGTAGGTGCAGGGAAACAGCAGGACAGAACCATGGCTAACATCAGGAGCCACCCTAATCCAGGAATGGGACCAGGAGATAGGCAGGAAGTGGGGCTGGTGACCTCTGTGGCAGTTGTATGTGTGGTGTGTGTGTCCCCCAACCCCCATCCACACATAGAAACACACACACGGGAAAGTACAGAAGAAAATGGAGTTTTCAAGGCTATCTGACAACTCAGGCTATGGTAAGTCAGGACCTGACATCACTAAGGCATTTAAGGTGAAGAACATGTTAAGAGTAAGTTAGAACATCGCTATACTCTTACTGGTCAACCAAAGCTGCTGCCCAAAATGGCTGAGTGTAACAGATAAGCAGTCGTCATACCTGTTCCATCAAAACTACTATCCCGTAAAATTAATGACCTCTTTCCTTTCCTGATCTTCTTTCGTTTCTCTGTAGAGCTCTCAGCTTCATGAACACACTCCACATTAAACCACAGGGAAACGCTGAACCCTTCTGACAGGTGCGGCCAGCAGTTCTGCCCCGGTAGTGGCAGGTGCACCGGAGCGATGTGCCAGGAGGAGAGCAGCTGCTGGGGAAAGCTGTCACTGTCGGCCTCTTTCCTGCTCCATGAAACACGTGCCCTTCTCAACAATCCCATGGCCTTACTGTTGAGAATCCCAGGACACTTTGGTGCTGAAACATCATTGCTTAGATTCGGAGTGTGCAGCAAAGGGAAGGTCACATACTGTAAAGGGCTCATAGCAACGTCACTTTCAACTATTTTCAGAATACCCAGGAGAAGAATTTCCTAGAGAAAAAGAAAAACAAAACTTTACAGTCATGTTACAAGGTACATAATACTCTTGAAATTCAGGCTATAAATGAACATACAAACATACACATATCAGCATTCCTATTTAAATACCTCCTATCTACCATGTCATTACATTTTCATTTTTTGTATAGCTAAGATAAAATATGAGCCTGGTCGTGCGGCTCAGTGGTTGAGCATCAACCTATGATCTAGAAGATCCCAGTTCTATTCCTGGTCAGGTCTTGATCCCTAGCAGGGAGCATGCAGAAGGCAGCCAATCAATGACTCTCTCATCATTGATGTTTTTATCTCTTTCCCCCTCTCCCTTCCTCTCTCTGAAATCAGTAAAATATATATATATTTTTAAAAGATAAAATATGAGACTTCATCCTTAAAATGTGAAATCTCTTATGATTGATTTGTTTTAGATTTTGATGCATTTATGGTACAAACCTAAAAATTATGACTCAGTCTTAAGTATTAGAAATTAAATTATTATACCAGGAATCATTTCTACCAAAGAAAGATGTTTATTCCCAAGCAGAATATAGTTGCTTCTCTCAAATATTTTTATTTCTTTTCTTTTAATTTTTTTTATCCTTGCCTGAGGATATTTTTCCTGTTGCTTTTCAGAGAGAGAGGGAGGGAGAGAGAAACATCGACGTGAGAGAGACACATTGAATGGTTGCCTCCTGCCCTCAGCCCCGGGGGCTGGGGATCAAGCCTGCAACCGACGTACATGCCCTTGGCTGGAATCAATCCCAGGACCCTTCAGTCCACTGGCCGATGCTCTTACCACTGAGCCAAACTGGCCAGGGCTCCTCTCAAATATTTTTAAATAAGGGATAGAACCTTACAAAATCTCCGGGTTGCTGAGTGATATTTATGGTATGATTGACTATAAAACTGAGTGCTCAATTACTTTCTAATTTATTTTACATGCCAAAATCAAATGAATGTTTTCATCTGTGTTTGGTAAACTAAAATAAGGTTTTCAGATTTTATTTATAATTACAAGTTTTCAGTTAAACTGAAATGTAGAATGTATAAAAAAGAGAGGAAATGAGAATTTAATTAAAGGGAGAAGCAATGACGAAGGACACAAGTAAAAAAAGGATTAACCTTAAGTACAATGCCCTACTCATGCACAAGAGCATCTAATGTTGATTATGATGGAAACACTCGCAGAAAAAGTAAAAGGAACGTTCCATAAACACAGTCAGTCCTCAACTGTCTACACGAGTGGTTTGTAAGTGTGGCTCCACAGAGCTCCCTCAGGCTGTGGGCTGGTCGAATGCACAGGGCTCAGGAACATCAATCTTGCTTCAGAGGAAGTAGCTCCAAAGTTTTCTGTTTTATCTGCTTAAGCTTCCAGTCAATATTTTATCAAAATGGATTTTTCATCAAAAAAGCCTAAAAGTCACCAAGTTACACCAACAGAAAGAAGTGATAGAAGACAGCGAAGAGTGGATAATAATTTTCTAAAAACAGGATAAGTCCCAAAATGGTTATAATTACTCATAATTAAGTTGTCTTTGGTAATTAAAATTATTTAGCATTTCTTAAGCACAAAAAAGACTGGGGGAGGGGTTGTGGTAAATGAACTGTGATCCCACTGAAATGTCTGATTAGCCAAAACAGAAGTGAAATGGTTAAAATATGTGCAAAAAATAAAATAACTGGAGCATTGACCTAGGATCCAGGATATTGCAGTTCGATACCTGGTCAGGGCACATGCCCAGGTTTTGGGCTCGATCCCCAGTATGTGGACGTGCAGGAGGCAGGTGATCAATGACTCTCATCACTGATGTTTCTATGTCTCTCCCTCTCCCTTCCTCTCTCTAAAATCAATAAAAACATATTTAAAAAATAAATAAAATAAAATAACGAGAAACTTCACAAGTAGTAACACAGAGTATAATTACCACAGCAAAAGAGAGAGCTTAGTGATTTTCAAACACTTTAAAAAATACTCTATTAAATATCAGTGAAAAATTTTAAATTATAGCATATTTACTGTACAAGGAGTTTTCTCCAGAAATATTCTCAAAAGAAGGGTTAGCTCTTCCGAACACGTTCTTGAACTCATCAAAGACACCAAAAGATCCACCAATACTCTCTGGCATGCTAAATTAAAGAAAGATAGAGGGAAAAATTAAAGCCAAATACACAGTTAATTAAAGAAACGAATAATTTCATTGAAAAAGATAAAAGACTGTTGTCACATTTCAAGTGGACTATAAACAACCTAATAATCCAAAAATTTGCTGAAGAAATAACAGTATGGTTAAATGAAAATCAACCAACAGACAAAAAACAACAAAATCACTTTTTTTAATGATTGGTTAGCTCCAAGTCACGTAAAGGTATTATTTAAAGCAGCATAAAAAGGTGACGAGATTAAGCGAAAAACAAAACAAAAAAACAAAACAAACAAAAAACTCACAGACACAGACAACAGGCTGGTGATTGCCAGAGGGAAAGGCGGATGGGGGGAGATAGAACAGGGTAAAGGGGGGATAAATGGTGACAGAAGGAGACTAGACTTGGGGTGGTGAGCACACAATACAATATATAGATGATATATTACAGAATTGTACACCTGAAGCCTATATAATTTTATTAACCAATGTCACCCCAATTAATTCAATTTAAAATTAATTTTTTAAAAGCATAAATTAATACAGTATTCATTAAGTTGACATTGTTAAGTACCATAAAATAGTCTTTTCATCTTGAAAATGTTTACATTATATTTTTCACTTTATAAATTGAAAATTAGATGACATAAATAAAAGTAGAAGTACTGAAGATTATGAAAACACTTAAATATCACAGTTAGTTTGAACATTTTCTTTATTCCATCATGGGGTTTAGCATAAAATATAATCAGTTGTACACAAATTCAGAGAGCTTTGAAGAGCTAATAACTGTAGCACACATTAGTGTTCAAAGTATATTTACATGCATTATCTCAGTTGATCCTCACCGCCCTCCAAGGAAGTCTTACAAATCAAATATGATCTCAGTTGGGGACATGACCAGAATAACCCTGCTGAGAAGCCTGTGACAGCCCTGCTGAAGCCAAACATTCCGAGGAAGCACCAAATCAGCTGGCACATCTGGAAGGAAACTTGCTAAGAGATGGTAAAGTAGTAGGGACTTTATCCTGTAACTAATAGGACTCCATTAAAGGTTTGAGAGTAGGACAAAATGTGATCAGAGTAAAGGGTATATGCTTAGATTTTGTTTTCAGTTCAAAACTGACAGGTTACAGTTCAAAATGGAGGCATGCGCACACACACACACACACAATTTCCCTGTCTACCACTGGAAACTCACTGAGCTAAAAGTACAGAATTACAAAAATGAAGAAGCACACCAGGTGAGAGATTTAAACAGATTTCTGGAGAATGGAACAGTAGATAGACAGAAGAGAAAGCTGCAGCCTAGAATCTCTGAATTACAAAGGGGCTCAGAGTGGAGAGCCAATCTGTGTGTCTAGAACCTGGAGAAGAAGAATGGGGCTGCCACACAGGGGTTAATAAAAGATGTGCCTGTGAACATCCACTCCACTCCTCTCCTTGATCCTGAGTATGGAGCACAGATCGCTCAGCTTTTACCTTTATGCCCCCAACCTGATAACTCTTCGGAAACTGAATGAATTGCCAGGCAAAGCTGGGATGTATAGTAGGATGTTAGTACCAGGGCTACCAGGTATAACTGAACAGTTGCTTATGAAATATCCAGAACAGGCAAATCTATGACAGGAAATAGACTGGTGATTGCCAAGGGCAGGGGGAGGTGTGGGGGGGAGGACTATGGGGAAACAGAGAGTGATCGCCAGGGGTATGGGGTTCTTATGGGTGATGAAACATTCCAACACTGACCATGATGATGGTAATACACTGAACAACACTGAGCTGTGTGCTTGAATGGTGAGCTGTATATGATTATAGATCAATAAAACTGTTATTAAAAGACAATGGAACAGAATTTCTCAGAGCTAAGCTGGAAATGTCTTCAGATCAAAAGGATCCACTGGGTGCCAGCACAATTAATAAAAATATACACTAAATAAGGAAATGGGGGGAAAAGGGAAGCTTTTCCTCGGAGTACAATCCCAATTAATAAATGTTAGAGGAATGATGGAAATAGAAAGTCACTATTTGGCAAACACCACAGTACTAACTGTTTCAGTCAAGAATCATCAATGGATGCTAAAATTAGTGGGTTATAGTATGATGGAGAAAAGGGTATTTACACAGTTCTCAAGTTATCTCCCCACAAGATAGTTACTATTATAAAGAGAAAATAGTGACTTTACAATGGAGAGACCTGGCAAGACACCACCTTAACCAAGTGATCGAAGTCCACATCCCCAGTAATCAGACATAGATGTCATTAACCCCTAGGTATGATGCACTGAGAAAGGCACAGCATCGCTGCTGGTATGTCTGCTAAAAATGCCTAACTTGGCCCGACCGGGCGTGGCTCAGCGGTTGAGCGTCGACCTAGGATCCAGGCGATCGGGGTTCGATTCCCGGTCAGGGCACATGCCCGGGTTGGGGGCTGGCAGCCGATCAATGACTCTCTCATCATTGATGTTTCTATCTCTCTCTCCCTCTCCTTTCCTCTCTCTGAAATCAATATATATTTAAAAAAATTTTTAAAAATAAAATAAAAATGCCTAACTTGAACCAATCACCAGGAAGTATCCAACAAATTCAAATCAACATTTCCTGTATGTCAGCTTTAATTCTCCAACCAAAATTTAGGTTTTTCCAACTACAATGTAGGTCTCTGTCTAATATATAAAGTAGAATCATATCATCTGTTTCTCAACTGTCTGTGAAGCACAAAGAAGACAGCACGATCCCACAATCTCTAAAGTAATCCTTCCTGTTCAGTGTTTACACCAAATCATGGTCCTCCTAAGGCCACCTCTGTGTACATGACCCCGAACAACTCAGGTCCTTGCAATCTAGATTTTTTTCTATAAAATCAAGATACTTGTACTATGTCTACTGCACTGGGTGGGTCTGAGGAACAAAAGAGATGATGCATATAAAACTACTTTTGAAACCATGGAGCACTATACTATACTTCATCTTACATCACAACAAAATCATTTCAAAACTATTGTTTAAAACTAACATTTTCAACGCACCTTGAAAATCAGAATCAGCCTGTGTTAAAATACTCAAGAACCCTCCTAAAAGATTTTTCACAGTTCCCTGAAGATTAAAAAACAAAACATAATAAATTAAATTTCTTACCTCATGAAAGCATGAAGCAACTGCAATGTAATAAATGTTTTGGAAGTCTATTTAAAATGACTAAAAAGAAGGCTATGGGTAGTATTATATGCAATTTTTATTTTATGTTTCATACTGCTTTGGCTTTCTAATTTTTTAAAACAATGACCAAGTATTAAAATTAAGTGCAATTTAAAAACTATTACCCATTCTCAGAAATATACCAGGAGTCATTACTGGCCAATGAAATCATTAATTTTTATGCATTTTAGAGAACTATGGAATTAGAAGGCTTTTAGAATACCACTTGTAGCCAAAAAACATGTATATGGTATTAAAAAATATAAGTAGTCATCTCAATTTTCAGACAAGTTGGGTCATAAATAAGGAAATGAGTAACTGGGCATGAGCGGAATAAATATTGGTCTCGTTTAACTAAATACATCTTTTACCTGTTGCAAGAGTAGAAAAATATTCTTTTCTTTCTGCCTGATGATTTTCAAAAAACTCTCAAATACGTGGGTAAGCACATCAAGTTTGGCTTTACTAGTAGAAAGCAAATTCAATTCCAGCATGCAAATCTCAGGATATATTATTTCCCCCTGAGTGAGGTTTTCAAGTAAGTCCTTTGGACTGCTTGACGCAATGAGACCTTCTGCTTCAGATTTTACGTCTCCTCCTGAAAGGGGAAAAGAAACCATTATTTTTACTCCCTGAACACTGACTGAATATTTCAAATCTCATTCATCATTTGAAAGGTGTAGTGGGGAAAGTGCCATTTATAAGATGTTCACAAAACCCTTTCCTACAACCTGACTTTTGATTACAACAAGTATCTTGAATAATCAAGTCTTATGGATATTTCAAAGATAAATGAGCAGCCTCCAAAGTAATTTTGACCTTCAACAGAACTACCAATATTATCAACAGCAACTTCTATAGACATGTGACACAGACTTAACACACTCCTCTGGCACACTGAAAAAAAACACTATCCCAAGCTTTGTGACCCCAAACACCTAAATCACAGGGCAGTTATTTGCCTACCCATCTCTCTGAAAATGGTAGGCTTGGCTGTGGGTTGGATAAGTTCTGTACCTTCTCTTCCTCATAAGTGAGAAATAGACAGACACTGTCTCACTATTACATTTTGGGAAATTTAACTTAGATGCTCTTAAAAGAGGCTGCTGTGCTCTTCAACAGTGTTCATATAGTTAAGAATTTTATAAATTTCTACCTAGATCAGAATTCTTTAAATTAAGATCTAGTTAGCAAACTTATAAAAAGGAGGAAATCTGCCATTACAAAATCACGACTGTACTACAATAACACCAACACCATTAAACCAATGTTTTTTCAAAAGCATCTGCTTGAGGGGTTGAGGTGGGGGGAATTAGAGGAAGGTGGTCAACAAGCACAAACTTGCAGTTAGAAGATCAATAAGCACTGGGGATGTCATGTACAGCATGGTGACTGTAGGTAACACTGCTGTGTGACACAGAGGAAGGTTGTTAAGAGAGTAGATCTTAAGAGTTCTCAACACAGGGAGAAACTTTTTTCTCTTTATTGTATCTATATGAGATGATGGATGTTGACTAAACCTATGTGGTAATCATTTCTCAATATATGTAAATCAAACCATTAAGCTGTATGTCTTAAACTAATGCAATGATGTATGTCAATCATATCTCAATAAAACTGGAAAAAAATGAAAATAATAAATCAAGTGAGCTATATATATGTGTACACAGGGGGTAGCAAAAATAGCTTTACAGTTGTGAGTATGCAATACAGAGTTTATTCTTGTATTACTTATTTAATTATTATTAATTATTTATTATTATTAACCTACTTTTCCCCACCCCTGTATATACACACACACATATATATATTCTTTCAAATTTGTGGCTGTTTTTTAGTTCTTTTCATTCTCTTTCTGGTAAAAACAAAACAAAACATCTGCCATGGGTCCATCAGGCCCTTTAGGTGGAACATCGAAGTGATTGTTCCCAGTCAATGGACGGGAAGGGAAAACAGACTTGGGAAGCAGGCTACTGCAGGCTTCACGAGGACTCAGTCCTGGACAAAGCCAGCCTACAACAGGATGGGCCTCCCAGAGTCGCCTGGTTCTGATGAATCCACCTTGTCCGTTCCACTCACAGTTTAACCTGAGCCACAGGAGGGTGTGCAGTGTGGTTCCACCCCAAGGACAAGCTGGGCGCTTGTCCAAGAGGACACCTATGCTGCAGCACCCTTGGAAAAGGCTGTGAAATGCTCTTCCTCCAATGTTTGTCCGGAGAGATCTTTTTTATTTAGGCCTCAATGTAAACAAATAACATCCTCAGTGAGGCTTCGTCTCTTCACCCAATCGCTACACCTCACCCTGCTTTATATTTTCATACTGTTTGTCTCTGCTACTTATTCTTTTTCACTTGAACATATGTGAAGGCAGGGACTTGCTCTCCCCTGTAATCTTAGGTCAACGTCTGTGATAACAAAATCAACCTCAGTGTTTTCAATTGCAGATACAAGTGCCAGAATTTACTGTGAAGGTCCAATAAAATGATGCCATGCACTTCTTAAATTGTAACGCAATACAAATTCTAAAGCAATATTATTATGAACCATTTTGCTAATTAATAATCTGACTTGCAAACTGATTCACAAGTACTCCATGATGTTTTACCCCCATCCGGGGCTTCGCCGTCCTCAGGACTGCTTTCACTATCTGCTTCATAACCTTCTTCTCCAACCCAAAGTTTAAAACCACAACATGGAGCATCCTCAGCTTCTTCCGAAAACTCTCCAGGTTGGGGTGACAATTCTTCTTCAGGCTGATGACTCTATAAGATCGGTGCAATTAAAAAGCAAAACTTGTAACTTTTGCTCATTTTTAGTAATATAATATTTATTATGCAAATGTTATTTTAAGAACAGATTCAGTAATTTCTTTAAGAAAAAACTTATAAAGTGATATTTACCACTATAAATTATGAAATTCACACAGCAAAATTTTCCAGAATCTCTCAGACAACTTGATTAACACCTCAACAGTGGGTGGGAGTTGTCTCTAACAGATTAAGCTATAGGTCATTTCAAATTTACTGAAAAGTAAGTCTAACAAATTATATTCTAGCTATATAATGGAAATGGCTAAAACCACAATGAGGTGGAAGTATACTTCTTACCACTAAATGCTAATAAGTACATATTATTTTTACACATTTGTTCATGGAAGATTTTTCCACAGGACTTTTATATGTTTTGTAAATTAGAAACCAGAGAGGACAAAACATTTTCAAAGGGGTAAGTTTTAAGATTTCAGGATGCAACTGTTTGTATACAAGCACCCGGAAATCGAGAGTTCCAGCATTAACCTCTTGTGTAAAATTCTGCAGCATGAAATTTTCCTTTTCTTACAAAAATCTACAAATATCATCACTTTATTAGAAAATGTTTTCTAATAGTGTGTAAAATTAAAAGTAGCAATGGGGAGTTAAGATGACTGGTTGGTTGGGTACATGCATGGGAGTATGGCATCAGTGAAAAAAAGGTTGAGACTATTCTAAACCCAAAGGACAGGTGGCAATACCAACCTTGACATTTTTCATCCTTGCTTTTGTCACATCTCATCACCAAATTCATTAACCGCTATTTTATACTACATAAATGATAATTTTTTAACCTATGTATTATGCTGCTCCTCAGTTTACTGAGACTGGTCTTGGTTTGTGTTAGAAGGCAGTAATCATGTCTATATCATACTATACAGCACATTTGGGGGGGTAAAGTGTGCTAATTTCCTATTTAATCTAACAATGAATGGGAGCTGAGGTGAGAGAGATGGTAATAGTAACAATATAAATATATGTGATATATACTTTTATTTAAAAGAGTAAAATGAGACAAATTATCATGCTGTTTGTATTGTTTCCATGACGCACCAATTAATATTCAGCTGAACCCACGTTACTTGTATCTTCTCTCTTCGTCTCCATAGCCCTTTGCTTAGCGTGCATCTGCCATGGCCACCTGACTATGGGCTTATCCACTCGCTGAGATCTGGGCAAGCCTTCAGGTTATACTACTTTCCCTGCGGGATCTCAATGCCTTCCAGAACTGTTCTGTGATTGCTCAAACTACACTGATTTATGTCTCAATACTTGTTGACTAGAGTTTTTCATTTGACTTGTGCAACTAAAACACACACACACACTTAAATACTTTCACTTAAAGAAGCTGAGTACTTTATCATTGCAACATTAATAAAAGGTAGAATAAAGTAATTATTTTAACATTTTCCAGTTAACCAACTGATTCAGTAATATGATGATGGATGGCACTAGTAGCCATTTCAGTCAGTTTTTAAGTTACGACAATCAGTAACAAAAAATATTATGGCAGATCATCAAATGTCACATACATGGACAGACTAAGGAATTAAATGAGAAGTTATATAACCATGAAGAGCAGGTGACAATTAATTGAAGGTAAAAATAAACATTAAAGGGGGGCGAAATAAACCAAATATGTATCACAATTTCAGAAAAAAAATTAAAATAGTTCTTTTACAAAAAAACCAACATGAACAACTAAAAACTATAATTTCTATTTTCTATGCAAGTATTAGTCATTTTTAAGTGGAGCGATTTAAAAGTAAAGTAGAGTACAGTATTCTGGAAATACCAGCTGCACTAATGTAGATAAGACACCTGAGTCACCACCATCCCTGAATTATCACTTAATAACTACCAGTTACTGTATGTAAGACATCAAATAAAATAATACATCTGTCTTATGAGAGTGATGCTCAGTAAATTTCCAGACTAGATGAAGAAAGCATGTCACAGCGCTCTCCTGTTTGTGTGAGACCAGGCCCTGAGTCAATACTACGAAGCCTGGACAATGGAACTCACCACCTCCTGGCCCATGTGTTCTAACCACATGCACCCATGAAGTCCCACCCCATACTCTTCTTCTGTGGGTCATACCCAGGTCGCACAACTGCATACTATTCATACCTTCTCAGTCAGAGCATCATCATGTTCAAAATCTGCTGAATGATTCCCCAGTGCAACTCGGAGCAGGGCATCGAACAAAGGCTTTGCCAGTTCTGTTTCTACCACCTTTGACCGGGAAAGATGGTCCCTCATTTCAAACAATATATTTTCGACAGACAAATTCTAAGGTAAAATAAAAAGAGACTAAGAATACTAATAAAATGCTTTAAGAAAAAAATGAAACAGTGATAGATGATACATTAATAAGTAGAAAGTAAAATTACTGTATGAATACCTAGCCCTTACATAAACATCTACTGTCATGATTAATAACATTTTTATTTATCAAATGCTTTACTTACCTTATCTGGTTTTGAATTTCAATGTATCATAAATTAATTGTATCACAAAAACAGTTAGAGGAAACTTGAGAGTTTTGATTTACAAACGCCTTTAGACTAAGGAGCACTTGCAGTCTCATCCTTCTCTCTCCCCCTCTTCACTCCTGCCCTTGAAGGGCACCTTGGCCCACGTCCTAACATGAGGTGATGAGGCCATGAAGATGGGTAAGAAGCTGATGTCTACCTTAAGAAATTTTCAATCCCATGTGAGACAGAGACACATACAAACAAGATTTGATGATATTTGGAGAGATCCCAGATGGCAGCGGATTGAATGGAAGCTACACTGACACTCTCCCGGGACCAAACTGGAATTACAACTAAAATATAGAAAAACTATCCTGAATAATCAACTGCAACTGAAGACAAGCTGGAGAGCACCCTCATGACCAAGGAGGAAAAGTGGAGACCAGATAGAGACTGGTAGGAAGTGCGGAGGCGAGAGGGCTGGCTGGGCTCCCACAGGAGCAGCTGAAGGTCCAGAGGGAGATCTCAGCTGTGGGGTGTCCCACTGAGGATTCTGGCTCTAAACCCCAGGCTGGGCTCCCCAGCCCAGAGCTGAGAGAGGTACCCACATAACATCTGGCTGTGAAAAGCAGCAGGGTTTCTGTCTGCCAGGGAGAGACCACTGGAACTGCAGGCATCCTCTTAAAGGGCCAACTCACAAAGTTTTGTGTGCAGCCACTCACCTTGGGCTCCGGTGGAGGGAGGGCAGAGTGGAGTAGAGCTGTGTGAGGAGAATCCGGGGGAGGGGGCTGGCTGAGTGAAGAGATCTCAGAGGGCACCCATCTGGACCCTAGGTCTGAGTCATTCCCCCATTAGGCAAAGGACTTCTTTCTCAGGCAGACATTTACCTTCCAAGCTGCTTTTGCCTGAGGGGGAAGCAATTGCTCCACCTGCTCAAAAACCTCTGGCCCCGCCCCTATGGAGTTTCTACAGCCTGAGGCTCATTAAGAGACTGAGTAACAGCTCTCTAGGTGCTTTGAGTCTTTGCCTGATTTTCTTCTGGACCCAGGGCTTGGAAAAGCAGACATTGGTGCACGTCTTGGTCCTGTCCAAACACACCCAGCACCAGCAGAGAAAACCAGAAGCTGTGGAGCATGGAAAACTTCAAACAGGGTACTCAAGGCCAGTCACAAACAGAGTCTGACATTGGCCTGCATCAGAGACTATCCAAAAGACTAGGAGTCCTAGCAGATCTACCTAATACATAGAAACAAATCCAATCAGGCAGCCAAAATGGGGAGACAAAAATACAAGCCTCAAATGAAAGAACAAAAGAATTCTCCAGAAGAAGAGCTAAACGAAAGGGAGATAAGCAGTCTATCAGATACAGAGTTCAGAATACTGATCATAAGGATACTTAACAGCATGAGAAAAAATATAAAAACTATGAAGGACATTAGGAATGACAGTAAAAATAATAATTAAAAAACAACAACAAACATTGGAAGGAATGAAGAGCAGATTAGGTGAAAATGAGGATCAGATCAGCAAATTAGAAGACAGGGTAGAAAAAAATCACTCAATCAGAGAACCAAAAGAAAAAACAGTTAAAAAACAGGAGGACAGTTTAAGGGAGCTGTGGGACAACATTTAATGTAACAATATTCGCATCATAGGAGTGCCAGAAGGTGTAGCAAGTAAGCAAGGGTTAGAGAACCTGTTTGAAGAAATAATGGCAGAAAACTTCCCTAACCTGGTCAAGGAAAAAGTCACACAAGTTCAGGAGGCACAGAGAGTTCCAAGCAAGAAAAACCCAGAGAGGCACAAGTCTAGACACATCATAATTAAAATGCCAAAAATCCAAGATAAGGAGAGCATCGTCAAGGCAGCAAGAGAAAAGCAATCTGTTACCTACAAAGGAGCTCCCTCCCATAAGGCTGTCAGCTGATTTTTCATCAGAAACACTACAGGCCAGAAGGGAATGGCATGAAATACTCAAGGTAATGCAAAACTAGGATCTGAAACCAAGACTACTCTATCCAGCAAGGCTATCATTCAAAATAGATGGTGAAATAAAGAGCTTCCCAGACAAAAAAAGGGCTAAAGGGGTTTATCACCACCAAACCAGCAATGCAAGAAATGTTAAAGGGACTGCTGTAATAAGAAGTTGAAATAGGGAGAAAGAGAAACATAGGTATAAAGAAATAAAATGGCAATAGATAAGTACCTATCAGTAATAACTTTAAATATAAATGGATTAAATGTCCCAATCAAAAGACATAGGGTATCTGAATGGAGAAGACCCAATATACGCTGTCTAAAAGAAACCCACCTCAGAACAAAAGACTCACATGCTAGGAAAAAAAAATTCTGGAGGACTTTAAAGGAGAGGTGGACAGCAATACAGTCACAGTAAGGGACTTTAACACCCCACTGACATCACTGGATACATCTTCCAGACAAAAAAATCAATAAGGAAATAGTGACTCTAAATGACACACTAGATCAGATGGATTTAATTGACATTTACAGAACATTGCACTCCAAAACTGCAGAATAGATTCTACTCAAGTGCACATGGTACATTCTCAAAGAAAGACCACATGTTAGGACACAAAACAGGTCTCTACAAGTTCAACAAGATTGAAATCATATCAAGCATCTTCTTGGACATTTACATGATGGAATACTATGGAGCTATAAAAAACAAAGGATCTCTTACCCTTTGAGACAGCATGGTGGGACCTGGAGAGTATTATGCTAAGTGAAATAAGCCAGTCAGAAAAAGGCAAGTATCACATGATCTTACTCATATGTGGAATCTAATAAAATACACTGATTAACAAAATAGATTCAGAGACACAGAAGCATGGAACAGACATCTCAGAAGGAAGGCAGGGGTGGGTGGGTGGATGGGGAGAGATTAACATACAAATTTATATGCATATGTGCATAACCCATGACTGCAGACAATAGTGGGGTGAAGGCCTGGAGGGAGGGGTGTAGGGGGGAGGTGATCAATGGGGGGAAAAGGGAGACATTTGTAATACTTTCAACAATAAAGATAAATTGAAAATAAAATAAAAAATTAAAGATATGATGAGTGTTCTAGAGCTATAAACAAAGTTCTCTGAGAACAAAAAGAGAGAAGGTGCCTGAGAGGCCTGTAAAAGGTGTCCCAGAGGAAGGGTTGTATGATATGCACAATGGAGAACTCACAGGAGCAGCAGGCACACAATCAGAGGGAGAGGATATGCCCAGTGGAGGAACATGCACAGAAGCAGAGTAACAACTAAGAATGGCATCTTGAGGAGTGGGCAGCTTGGGGTGGCTGGCTGCACCTGGTGAAGGATGGCAGGAAGTGAGACTCAACAAGGAAGCAGAAGCAAGACTGTGAGGGGCTCTGTGCCTACATTAAGGAGCATGGATTGTAATTGTGAGCAACGTGGGAGCAGCAGGATATTTAGACAGGAGGCACCACGGAGGCAACAGGAGAGCCTGCTGGCTGGTGGAACAGTGAGGGTGGGCTAGTGAGGAAAGAAGGGACCTGCCACACTTGAAGGTTCCCTAGGAGCAGGGAATGCAACTGGGGGTTCCTTTTATGTTGAGAAGTGCTGGCAGGAAAAACCTGTAAGGTGTGAGGGAAGCAGAATGCATCAGGGGAAGAATCTAGGCAAAGAGTAGTTTCAGAATAAAGGTCCAGCCCCTGCCTCACGACAGGGAAAGCTCTGGAGCCTGGACTGCCCCACAGAGCTCATCCCTACTGAGGAGCACCACACCAAGGCTGTGAAGCAAGAACTTTGAACACAACACCATTATTACTCAGCTCCCATTTACTGCATATCTAATGCCTTGTGGGGCTGGTAACTTTGTCACTGTGGTTTTTGCATTACAAACTCAATGTAAGTGTCTCCAGGGCAAGAGGGTCTCTGGTTGTGTCCTCCACAGCACGTGCCACTATGGTCCTAAGCACATGGGCGCTTGCTAAAACTTAGAAGCTTGAGAAAACAAAATGACAAAAGTATTATGACAGAACTTTAAAGATACATGTTACACAATAGCCAGACAAAGGACAGTTATTTATTACCTGATCAGGTAGCTCTGACTCCATCCTGTGCTGACTGGCTCTGGTGCTATGAAGACAAATGGCCAGAAGGGCTTCCAGAAGTCGAATGCTCTGAAGAGAGGTCTCACTCCCTCGACTCCTCAGTCCCTCTGCTTCCTCAGGAGCAGCTCCAGCAGCTGGAATGGGATTCTCGTTTGTGGATGAAACAGGCTGTGACTCGAATTCACCTGAACTGTCAGCACGCTCCTGTAGCCTGCTGGGTTCTGATGGTGCAGCGGCACCTTTCACAGTCGAAGATGAAGAACCCTCCTTCACAGTGATCTCGGGTTGGGCCATTCTCATGAGATCTTGGTTCTCATTCACACCTGTGTCTCCCTCCTTTTTTCCTTGCTCCTCTTCATGACCTCTGAACAGTCTCTGTATGATCATAAATATTAACTTATGGCACACCCGGAAACCCCCCAGCCTGGAGAGCTGTTTCTGGAAGGCTGGGCTCAACATGTAGATGCAACGACACATGGTCCAAATGTCTGCTGCATGGTGCATGTGCTCGGGGGAAGGCAAGACTAGGCTCTCGAGCGGTACACAGGGCAGCGCATGGTGCAGGGGCTCGCTGGCCGTGCTGTCGTAGCCCGAAGTGTCTTCAGAATCGTTGGCAGACTCGCCATCTGAGTCGGCCTCTTTACTTACGCACAGGAAGGCCACACACAGGAAGAGGTTGATGGTGTTGAGGTGAGCGTCCTGGTGGACCGACTTCCGTTTCTTGGGGTAGACTTCTCTGAGACTGGCATAGAATTTGCTGAGACTCTGGGGAGACTCTGCAAACCCCTGCTGCTTGTGACAAGAGGTACCTGCATTTAAAGATGACAGCTCCTTCTGTTCACCATCTATCCCATCAGTACCTGGAATCGAATCTTTCTGTTGTTCCCCGAGGCTGATTATCAGAGTTTCAAATGCTTTTAGGGAATGGCCTCGAATACCATCTAAGTAATTTAGCTCAATTATATGATTTACTCCATTACAACTTAAAAACAAATCTCTTATTACCCTGTGAGGGGAAAAAAAAACATACAAGAGGTTTTACATATAGAAAGGTCATTTATAAATAGGTGCATATACTATTTAAACATGTCACTGCTACAGGTGACCACTTAATTTAACTAATCAATCATCTGGCTTAAGTCCTTAATTAGATGTGACCAGGATCTCAAGGTACCTTCTGACCTTCACATCCTCCAAATACTGCGTGTATGACTTTAGCATCTAAACAGAATGGTTACATGTGTCCCAGGTTAAACGGAGCAATTCAGGGAAGAACACTTTTCTCCAAATAACAGACTCTATATAAATTCTAACTGCCACGAGCACCACCACTCTTCAGATGGACACTCGGAAAGCAGGCAAGCATTGGTGTGTCTTTTTGTTCATCTGCCTGCTGGCTCTCTAAGGGCTTTTTGCTTGTTTTAAATTTGCACCTCAAGAAGGGAGAGGGCCCAAGTACAGATCTGAGGATGTTCAGCTCTGTCTCAGGTGAGATTCGGGGGTCTAAATCACCGGAACCCTGGTAATAACTTTAACATAAATCAGTCAGCAAAGACCCAGGTTGTCCACAAATATGCCAATTGAGTTACAAACTTTCAAATCAGTCAGTTCTATTGAAACAATGTCAGAATGTCAGGAACTTTTAAAGATGTAAAGATAATGATAATAATAATGATCTCCTTAATTCTACTGCCTTGATAAATTTCATTTTATGTACATGCATCTTTTACACAGTGGTAAATAAGTTGCCGACATTTTGAGTTTTGTATATCTTATCAACAAAATAGTATAAGTATTTTCTCATGTCCCAATGTGATCTTTGTAACCATTATTTTTAATGGTTAATTATATTCCATCAAGTAAATATAAAACAATTAATTTAACCTTGCCTCTGCTACTGGATATCTGTCGTGTCTATGTGCTCTCAGAAATATATTTAAAACTTTACTCCTTTTTTCCACCAAGAAATTAAAATCAATGGCTCTGTCCTCTCCTTTATAACCACCCAGTAAAAATAAATAAATGTAAAAAAAATATGAGATACAGGATAGGAACTTTGTTGTTAAGCTATGAAAGAATAAAGGGTACAGATATTCAAAAACATACAATAAGGAAAATATCTACACACGTGTGCATACAAACCTTGATTTAAGCAGGGCAGGCAGCGTTTTTAAATAAACCTGAAGCACTTCCTGAGGCAAACACTGGCTCTGATGGCCACACACATGAGCCTGAGGTGAAGTGTAGCTAAGGTGCTGGCAATGACGGGCTAGCTCAACTCCTCTTTGGAGCACAGGATTAAATATATAATTATACAATTTCCACCGAACAACCACATTGCCTTTCTGCATTAAATTGCAAATGTGGTTTGCAATCTGCACACTATGTAATCTGTCCTCTTCAAAAACAAAATTCTGATACGCCTCTAAGGCATCCCATCTCCACAAGAAGTCCTCAGACCCACTGCTGGGCAGGATCCCTTGACACCTGTAAGGACTGGACAGGCCCGAGGAAGGCTCCTCATCGTGTGAGGTCCCCTGCAGTGTTTCTTCTAGTTGGGCTAGCTGATCAGAGTCAACGGTACAAATATTGCAAGCTGCTTTTTTAATTTTTTGTGGCATCTCAGCACCTCCTAGCTGATCCAAAATAAGTCTGCTAAGGATATTCAATACATGCTGCTGAACGTTTTTCAGTGCTGGCAGTTTAAAAGCATGGAGCAAAGGGACGATGACAGACTTGGGGTCCATGCAGCAGCACAGCCCCACTTCCTGGACTCCTGACAGGACCTGCATGCACGTGCTGCCCAGGGAGGCCTGCTGCAGCAGGCGCAGACACTGGTGCGCACACACGGCCAGGCAGCAGCAGCGCTCTGGGTAGCAAACAGCGCCGTCCGCAGTCTCCTCAAATGGGTTTCTGGAAACCTGGTTTTTAAATGCCGAAACCAGGAGACCTGAGAGGTCTCTGTGGTGATGCATGAAGTGGGAATATTCACACCGCCGGTGCCTCTTCCTTGTGCACATGGAATGATGAAGCTGCTCCGACTTCACTTTTTTGACAGTGCTCATTATCCCCATCACACTTTTTATTAGGGCTTTCAGATGTCCTGAGGCCTCAGCGGGAACGCCACCTCTTAAAATCAGCCACTCCATTTGAAGAACTGCTGTTTCAAACAAATTAAATCCATGATGCTGAATGAATTCCTGAACCAAATCCATGGCCTGACTGAAGAAGAAGGGGTTGGCAGCTGCACTCTGAAGACAGCAGATGAGGATCTGCAGCACTCCTTCCAGAAGCTCAGGCAAAAGAAGGGCTCGATGGCGATACTTTGCAAACACAAAACCCTCCCGAACCTCCTGCAGTGTCTTCTTTTGTCTTGGTGCAAAAGGGTCAGGCTGCTTTTCTAGGCAAGTTCTAATTTTTAAAGCTGCTCTAAGCAATTCAGTTAAATTTTTTTTAAGACTTTCTGGCATCATCTCTGCAGTACTAACATCTACTGACATAAGATGCAACACTGTTCGAAAAAGCATCCGTTGGATCAAGGCCACTGGTTCTTCAGTCCAACCTGCAGAAACCATTTGACTCTCCAAGTTGTCGCTGAGATTACAGCAGTCCCCAAAGCCTGCGAGGAACTCAGTCAGCGTGGGCACTACACTGGCCGCCAGAGCAGAATTATGATTCAGGGTAATGTCGAACTTACAAACTTTCTCTAATAAAGATAACAAAACATGACATAAGTCAAATGGAGAATTGTTCATGTGACTGATGATAGACAAGGCAGCTGGCTCACTTAAAATGTCGGTGTTTGCCTCCTGTCTTGGCGTAATCTCTTGGAAACTTTCCAGAGCCATGGTATCAGGAGGAGTCTGTTCTTTGGTTGACAGGTCAGGCTGAGCTGTAAGCTCGTCTTCTTTAGAAGACTGTGTTACAAAAGGCTGCAGCTGATGGGGCTGCCTGTGCTTGCTCACTGCTGTCCTTCGGTTGTCTGAATCGGCCTCCGAGTCGGAGGTAGAGAGCTGTGTCTTTCTTGCATCTCTTACAGAATAGCGGTGGGTGGTTTTATGCTGTCGTCTGCTTTTTCGAAAAACATTCACTTTTGCAGAAACATGACCTGATGGAGAACTTTCTTCTAAATATAATTTTTCCTGAGTAGATCTTTGTGAACTTGAGTTCTTTCCTTTGGCTGGGATTATATCAGCCGAGAACGGTAGATTAAAATCTAAGGAAACAAAAAAGGAAATTTTGGAATGTCTTAATGTTTTTAAACTCAATTTGTATTTAGCACTCAATTTGTATTTGTATTTTAGGAGTTTAACCTCAGTTTTGTTTTGTTTTTTCCACTGGGCTGATTTCCTTTAGCTACTGTTTTGTCTCTGGGTTGCTTCCCCCCACACTTACCTTTCTCATAAGTACTAGGTGGTATTAGTTCAAAGGATAGGAATTGATTTGGAAACAACAAAGGAGAACAGAATTAGAAAAATGGATCTAATTTAAAACCATATATTGCACTCTCATGTTAACATAAGAAACTGGGTGATACAGTACTACTGTTCACACTATTTACAAGCCTCTTCCAATAGTGCCGTCAATTAAGATACAGGGGTATATTATATTCTCAAAAATAGTATTTAGGTTATAGCCCTGATATAATTTAAGAACTTTAAGATTTTCAAAAATTATTTCAAAATTGTACAGTAAACACCAAATATTCTGTAATACTGAAGTTAAAAGAGATCGTCACTCAAAACACTTCCCGAGCGTGCCATCACTGAGTGAGGCCCAGGTGCGGGCATCACTGTTTCACCCCAGTGCCTGGGATGCAGGGCTCAGCACTCAACACCTATGTCTTGGGAGAAATAAATAAATCCTCCTTAAAAATTAAAAGATCATAAAGTATTACATGCTTTGCGATAGCATGTAATACAACCTACATAAAAAATACAGCTGCAATTCAGAATGAATAAACACAAACCTGTAAGTAAAAGATCTGTGCCTTAATTAGGGGGGATAAAAAGGAGGGCAAATTCTACCTGTGCAAAAGACGTCCCCACAAGAACAATAATCGGTTATCTTAGGTGACTAACAGCTTGTGACTTCTGCAGATTTAGAAGAAAACAAGAGAGCTGGCAAATCAACAAGCAGCAGGATCACGGTACTACAAGACCTCAGATGACTCCCTGACCAGAGGGCTCTGTCTCAGAATGCGTTCAAGATGCCATGTGGGGTTAAAATATAACACAGAAGAAAAATCTGAGATCTTTAAACATCTTACAATTCACATATCCCAGAAATGGTCAGGGGAAAAACTGTTAATCCCTTCACTGAAACATTTAAACTGAGTTTCATATACTTAATGTGATAAGTATATATACACAGGGGATCCCAAAAAATGTATACACACTTAAGAGCGGATAGCTCAATTTTGAAAATGAAATGTATTTTAATAAATACTGCTTTTATAATTATTTGAAGTGTGTGTACACATTTTTGGGGACACCCTGTGTGTGTGTACTCTTTAATCTTTTCAAAATCAGAAATTAAAAATATATATTAACCTTAAGTGGAGTAACTGACTTGAAACAAAATATTACTTCAAATTTATCCTTTGAGCCCTGGCTGGCTTGGCTCAGTGGTTAGACCATCAGCCTATGGACTGAAGGGTCCCCAGTTCAATTCCAGCCAAGGGCACACACCTCAGCTGCCAGCTCAATCCCCTGCAGGGTACCAGCGGAAGGCAACCAATTGATGTCTCTCTCTCACATCGATGTTTCTTTCTTCTCTCTCTCTCTCTTTCTCTCTCTCCCCCCCACCCCTTCCACTCTCTCTGAAAAGCAATGGAAAAAAATATCCTCAGGTGAGGATTAAAAAAAATTATCCTTTGAAAACCACATTAGAAAACTCAAGTACAGAAGTCAGACCGAGCATGGTGAGAGAAAGCAGTCTCAAACTGAGCAAAGGCACTCTCTTTTCTCCTTCAAGCTTTCCACTACCCACATCAGATGCCGTGCTGCCTGCATCTCCTGCTTCTGCTTCTTCACACACTTCCCATTACTGTTACAGTCGAGTAAGCCCCTAAGAGCCACCACGGCTTTTTGTGTTACTAGAAAAAATAAAATTGTGCTTACCTAGAGAATTTTTCATATTAAGTATCAAACTAATATATACTGTTCTGAATTTGAACTGTATCAACAAATAAGGGAAATGTAACTTTTTTAGTGTAAACATAACTTTAAAAAATTTGTGTTAAATTTTCATTTTTCAATTACAGTTGACATTCAGTATTAATTTATGTTAGTTTCAGGTGTACAGCATAGTGGTTAGATAATCATATACTTTACAAAGTGATGCCTCCAATATTTCAAGTACCCACCTGGCCCCATACCTAGTTATTACAATATTACTGACTATATTCCCTGTGCTGTAACTTACATCCCTGTGACTCTTCTGTTATTACCAATTTGTACAGAAGCAACTTTTCAGTGGAACATTTTTCCCAGTGGAATTTTGATAACACAGTGAGTGATATGATTAAGGTAGTACCCAAAGGAAACATACCTGTTGCCTTTTCTTCCTGAACAGGTATCTTCCACACCAACGGAAGGAGTGAGAGGAGGAGAGTAAGGAGCTCCTCTCTACATGTCAGTGCCTGTGTTAGAGATAAAAGAGCCCTTCATGTTCTGAGGTCAAGAGGCTCATTGATTCCTAATACCCTGTCTTAAACTTAACCAAAAAATCCTTTTCTTTGAGAAGCTAAGAAACAAATTAACCTATCTCAAAATCCAACTAAAGCTGTGATACTTTTCAATTTATAAACCTTTCCAGTGACAGAAGAATGTAAGAGTGTCTGACGGTATTTAGCACATTCTTGCTGATTTTTAAAACTAGATGTCATAGCACCAAGCACATTGCAAGAATACCTCACCTACAAGAAAACAATTTGCCAGGTGAAAATGAAAAGTTCAGTCCTATTAATTAGCAAACCAATAATATAAAGTTATTAGAAAAACATCTTCATGCAGTTAAATGTAAGATTCAGGGAACACATTTTTTAAAAGAGAAGCAGACATTAATAAATAATATATAAAAAGAAAGACTCATTAGTGAAGGAAATGGGGTGTTTACTGATGGCACACTATGCCCACAGCACTTACTGTCTTACCCTTTCTGGAGGAGATGGTCCAAGCCCTGGAGAAGGTCCCCTCACTTAGTCCATAAGATACATACACACAAAGTTAAAGAACAGAAGGCATGTGGCATGAGTAAACACTCAGGTGTGGTACAGGTGTTCAGTTTAGGAGCGCACAGAAAGGAGAGATCATGTCAGTCAGAAGTGTGGACTGGAGTTGGGACACCTGGGACATGGCAGGCAAGGAATTAATGACAAGTCAAGTTTAAATTCCTCACATCAGTGAGTGGGTGAGGGTGATACCGTCAGATCTGCAGGTTAGAAAGACCACTCTGGTCACTATACAGAGGACAGAATTGGGGTGGGGGCTGACCAGTGTTAGAGGCAGGGCAACCAATGCAGATGACAGAGGACCTGAAGTGCTCTGACAGTAAGACTGTGAGGGAGACATACTGTTTGAATAGCTGTAAGGGGGAACGGAAATGACTGCTGTTGATTACCTATGGTTATAAGGGAGAAACAAAAGATCTAAAAGAAACTCAAAGGTTTCTGGTTTAGGCCACTAGGTGACTGAAAATGTACTCACCAAGACAGGCAATTTAGGAGTGGTATTAGGTTGGGGGAAAATGATGGAGGCACTCTTTAGACGTGTTGAGTTTGAGATATCCAAATAGACAGCTTTTTAGTCAACAGTTAGATGTATAGACAGGAGCTTAAGAAAAAGACACCAAGCAAATAAAAGGAGCTGGGAGTCACTGGTGCAGAAGTCAAGGCTATACAAGAGATTTCCTAGGGAGAGTACACAGGATGTCGAGGAGAGTGGCGGGAATGACGCTCTCAAGAACAATGTTTAGGCAATGATGGGAGGCTGTGGTGAGGACAAGCCTGCAAAGGAGCCTGGGCAGTAGCTCCCAAAGCAGAAGCGGAGCAGAGAGATTGGGGGGGGGGCGCTTTAGGAAAGGGGGAGCCCACCGGGTCAGGAGCTGTTGTTCTTCAGTGTGTAAGATAATGGTGACAGCATTTACACCCAGAGGTCACTGGTGACCTGAACAAGTGCAGTTTTAATGGAATGACTGGGTACAAGTCCAACAGTCAGAGGGAAGGAGAAAGCAGACAAAGCATTCGGACTATTCCTAATCGAGTCCTGGTTATGAAAAGGTTCAAAATTCTTCAAAAGTAAAATCTACACTCCTTTTTGGGCTTAGGAGACCGTTTGTGACCTGATTCCCAGTGACTCGTCCAGTTTCAGCTCCACCACCACACCCAACCCCTTCCACAGGTCCAGCTACCAAGGGTCTCCTGACCCCCACTGCTTTCTGCATCCCCTGCACCTTCCTCACACGCACCGCTCTTGCAATCTTCCTCTCACTACTCTCCCAGCTGCTAAACTCCAACTCACCCTCTAGTTCTCAGTTCCTCACACCCCCTTGATGAAGTTTGGTTTCATGTCTCTACTTTACCTCCAGCAGAGCAAGCAGCGTGCTGAATGGCTGATGTCTGCACCCATTCCCTCCTTTATTCTAACACCTAGTGACAGCCCACTATGTGCCAGACACTTTGGACACAGCAGTGAGCAAGAAAGACAATGTTCACCTCACAAAGCTGACGCTCTCATAGGGGAGACACAGACACTGGGCACTAATAAGACATTTTCAAATAGAATGAAGACAGTTAAAGAGGGGAGGGATGACAGTGACGATGACAAGGGGGACATTTACAGCTACTCAGGATGGGCCACTAGAGTAGATACTTAACAGACAAGAAGGAGGAATCCATGCAAAGATGTGGCAGAAAAGGGCTCCTGGGAAGTACATACAGGGCTGGGAAAGGGAGAGTTCTGGGCGCTAAGGCCGGGGGGTGTAGACCAGCGAGACAGGCAGTGCCAGACCTAATGCGGCCTCGCAAGCCATGCGCAGGAGTTTGAATTTACCTCCAGACATGATGGGAAGCTTCTCAAACACACTTCCCTCAGAGCCAGACTCCAGGGTGCAGCCCTAGTCCTTAGAAATCCCCTCTGCCATGCAATGCCTAGTACACAGGTGGATTTTTATAAACATTATCTACATGAAAGACTTTAAATTCTGGATTCAAAGTAAAAATTGTGTCATAGGGACCCATTTCCATGTTCTTTACTTCAAAATTAACAAGTCTAAAGATGTCTGGATAACACTTCCACGCATAGCTCAGACTCACTATGTACCTCAACATTTTAAAGGTGCCAGCAAAATGTATATGGTCTTAAAAATCCAATGTTGGTCAGGCTATTCCTGTCAAGTCCTCCTAATTGAGTCCCTTAGCAGATGAGCTCGTAACATTCCAATGGAGTGTGCGGAAACCTCAAGGGCATGTGAAGAGCTTGGGACGTGCTGTCCTTGAACTGAGCCCCGGTCCCAACAGTACACAGGCAAACCATCACTGCTCCGTGAACAGGCATGCCAGCCTCTTGGCCTCTGCAGGACACGTGGTCTGGAACTTCTCTTGCTCCTTCCCACACAGCTATGGCTCGCTGGCTTCAAGGCCCAGCGCCAGCAACACTGCCCCATGAAGCCTTTCTTCCCACCCTGACCCCATTACTGTCCTCCCTGCTCGGGACATCATGCCCGTGGCCCCCATTCCGCCAAGTGGACTAGCTCTTGGAAACCAAAAGAATGACAGGGAAGCCAGTGCGGGTGTTTGTTTTTTGCCACCTCTACTGTAACTGCTGACCTGAAGACACTGTCACCTCCCTGTTGCCTGCTACCACAGTAGGGTACAATTCTTTTTTTTAATTTTAATCCTCACTCGAGGGTATTTTTTTCCATTGCTTTTTAGAGAGAGTGGAAGGGGGAGAAAGAGAGAGAAACATCGATGTGAGAGACACATCGATTGGTTGCCTCCTGCTCATGTGCTGACCAGGGCTGGGGATTGAGCCTACAACTGAAGGAGGTGCCCTGGGCTGGAATCGAACCTGGGACCCTTCAGTCCACGGGCAGACACTCTAACCACTGGGCCAAACAGGCCATGGCAGGGGCACAATTCTTGACTTCACACCACCACAATCATGTCTAACAAAATTCACCATTGGGGTGCTCTTGCTAACCCTCCAGACCTATTACTTTTTTAGGTATTGACATTCCCAGAGGTATTTATCCTTTCCAGTCCTAAAGAAACCACATATGTAATTCTATCCTTTTGCAAGTCATAAAATCTTTTCCTCTTATTTGTGGGCACCCTGGCAAACCAGAACTTGCAGCCCTCTGTTTCAAACCAAGTAGCATCCAAAGGAATACTACAGTATCCAGAGGAATGGCTGCTATCTCACACCATCCAAGTGGAAAGTTCTCTACGTGCCATAATAGGAAATATGTGCCATGAACAGATCCTGTCCCTGGCTATTCCAAGATATTCAACCTATAGAAATCACACCACTCCTCATTTAATACTTACCCCTGTCTCCCCTATGCAGGGAAAATGACATGTCATACCTTTCTAAATTCTCACAGCAATAACAAACCAGTAAAAGTAGTTTCATTTGGCTGGCAATTTTTCAGTTCAACTCAAGAAACATATTTTACCTACCTGCCAGTTGTAAGGCACTGTCCCTTTTGAAACTCTATTGTTTAGACTGGATTTTATATTCATTGCCTATCCTAGCCATCCAAGAGGTGACGGCACAATGAGAAAGGGCAAGTGAGTTGGAAGAAGAGCTGAGATTCCAAACTAGACCGATATCTCTGAGGCTGCAAGGGCAGGTGGGCACCAGAGCAATGGGGTTCAAGGACCTCAGGATGACATGCCAAGCAACTCGGACTGTATACAGAATGTGATGGAAAACTGCTTAAGTTATCTTAATTGGTATTAGTGGTATTTAAATCAGCATTTTGACATTTTAATTTAATGTTCCAGGCATAAGCAGAAATAAGTATATTATTTAAGTCCTTTATTTCTTTTATTAGAATTTTATAATTATTTCTAGTATATGTGTCTATACATACATATATGAACATGTCTTCATTAGTACTATAAATAGTATCTTTTTTATTTTCTAGCTGTAGAGGTATGGCTAAGGAAAATAATATGTTTGTCTTATATCCATAACTTTGCTGAATTGTTTTCTGGATGATCTTCTGGATTTTTCTATACACATCACTTTAAAAATAGTATTTTTGTTTTTCTACCATCCTCACATTTGGCTGTCCCTGCTTTCATATCCACTTTATTACTGCATGTTTTTAAAACATGCTATCAAACAGTAATAGTTATTCTTATACTGGTTCTATTGTAAAGCTTATTAAAAATATTACCAGTTTTTACAGCATTGAGAATATAGTAATACTAATGTAATAACTATGTATGGTGCCAAGTGGGTACTAGACTTATTGGGTGAATGACTAAGATATGTACCAGATAAATCACTATGCTGTACACCTGACACTAATATAATATTGAATGTCAACTGTAATTGAAAAATAAAAAATAATTTAAAACATATTATTGGTTTTGCTATTCTTTGTATATGAAAGACTATTATTAATTTATTT